GGGTGTCCCTTTCGCCTACTGTGGATGGTTGCGAAATCCTCTGAGGCACCACCGTTCAGAAACCCTGGTGTCTGATGATTCACCTGTAAATACCAACAAACGTTATGGTTTCCTATGGTTTCAATTTTGTGCAGGATTTTGCCCCTCCACAGTATCACTTCAGGCGCGACTTCAAACCAACACGCAAACACAATCAGGCCGAGGATGTTCGTCAAATTTCACGACCTCCGGTGCCCCTGTTTGCTCCGGTGGCTAAAATCGGTGTGTTTATACTCTCCCGCTAAAACACGTGTGGTTCGGCTGCGTACGGAATTCTTTGGCGCTAAGGTGGTTGTTCCAATGGGCAAACAGCTATTGGGAATTCCAGGTTCCGGCACAGACGCGAATAGATTCGCCTTCGAACGATTCCAGCGATGCGGGGAAGGGGGACATGCACATAGGTTCTTCACTTGTCAACTTTGCCTTTTTGGTGGTTGAATTGTAGAGTTGGCAGATGCACACCAAGATACATATGTGGAAATCAAAATGCAAGGCTTGTATCTTACATATGTGTGTACTGTGTACGTGTGTTGCTGATTTTCAAGGGACTCCCCCTCAAAAAATATGTAAAGGAAAGCAATCACTTGAAGTCTGAGACATTGGGGGTGGACCAAGTAGTGACCCTCGTTTGGGCATCCCTTGTCAAGGCGGGACAACATGACACGCCTGCGGGCATCAAGAGTTGGACGACACTCGTACCGGGGTCAAGTTGGATGTCTTCAACAATACTGAGTAAACCAATCAAAACCATTGAAATTACAGAGCTTTCTGCTTCCCCGAAATTCAAGAAACCACATTAATCATTAGGCTGTCCTAGAGTCGGTGTCCATTTAGTATGCATTGTTCTCAATTTGTTTACGTTACCATCTTCATTTGATCAACATCCAAGCTTATCATGTTTGAAAGAAGCAGAGCATTTTTGCCAAGATCTATGCTCCGCAACTCGTCAAGCCTTGTACTGAAGTGAACACGCTTAGGTGCTCGAATCGTCGAACTCAGATACCCCTAATGGGAACTGAACCCGAGGGAACTCAGTCACAATCAAATCCCGGGTAAGTGAAGGTTAGTAAGGGACAGTCCATAAATAGCTTCGGTCGACCATTTTAATACCGAGTTTTGATTCTGACTCAACTGGAGGGAAGCTTGGGTGTCCTTTTTGGTGAGTTTGTTTAAAAATGGATGGCACTGGTTTAGATGGGTAAATCATTTCATGAATCCAGAGCCATCTATTTGTCCAAAAGGCCATCAACTGCAGGGAAGCTATACCCCTCAATTGGTGTGGTTTGGTTTGGGACCTGAACCCGAGGGAACATGGGAAACCACTCCCCCAGACGAATCCAAACCACCAACATTTGCAAGCTCACGACCTGAGCTGTTTCTCAGGCAGTCTCCTCATGTTCCCTTCATGGATCTACCGATCTACCCATTTTTATACCGGCTTGTGATTATGACTCACATGGGGTGGCTCGTCTTTTTTGGCCCAACATTGATTTCGGTGGTCGTGTTTTGGCTTTTTGGTGTCCCTTTTTGGAAATTTCTACCCAAGGTAGCTAACATGAACCACCAACTGGGAAGCGGTTCTGACCTCGCCGTCTCGAAGTCGAGGCCAATTCCGCGCGGAGCAGTTCGTGCGGGAGGGCCTCGCCCAGCCAACGCCTCAGAGCGGTGGGCGCAAAGCGCTCGCTGGGCTCAGCCGAGCTCAGGGCGCGCATGAGAGGCGTAGAGACCCTCTTGGAGATCACGTCTTTCCGGTGGAACTCTGAAAAATGTACCAAAACCGGCCAAGAGCTACACTGGCAACTACATCGCCAAGATTCGTGTTATAGATTATGTTGAACTGGTTGTCCGCACAACTTCTTTTGGTTTGGGGGGGCAAGCGGGGGTTCTTTGGGGTGGTTTCCCTTGGAATAACACCAATGAGTTTCATGGGCCTTCAATCAAACCACCTGCGAAAGATGTTTGGCTGGGGAAGGCCGCTGGGTGTCGTTTGGCTCGATTTAATTGAAGGTTTGCATAGGCTTTACTGCGGATGGTTGCGAACTCCGTCTTGCGAATGATTCGCTTCCCCAAGGTGAATCCCAACCAACCCTTCACTGTTCTTGGCATTTGTTTTTTAGTGTTTTGGTTCTGTTCATTTTTACTGGGCGTCTGCAAAAAACAGTCAGTTTTTTGCTTCGTTTCCGAAAGTGCCAAACGCCTCGCGGAGAGCTCGCAACCATCTTCCGGTGTCTCGGGCTCGAGCTGCCATCACAGCACACCAGCTGGCTCCTTCGAGCTCGCCCATCCAAGCCCACCAGCTTGGAATTTCCGTATTTCCGGTGTTCACTTGGGCCCATGCTGTTGGGCCCTAGGGGGCAGTTGTTTTTGTTGCTTCTGTTTACTGATTCTCAACCCAACAAAGCTAAAATGTTTGTGTGTGCATCAGAAACTGCAAGCCCTTGCCGTTTCCTAGCCGTTTGCAAAGCCGTCCTCTCATGATTGAGCGGGGCGTGAAGCGGCTCTTTCTTTCAACGCTTTCCCGCAGACGCATGATGCCGGGCTTTTGTTCTTCCATTTGCTGTGTATCTTCCCCCTGTTGGTTTCAAAACGGGTTCGACTTCGCCACTGGACATATTTGTTCACCTTTCCTGGGGGCGAAAAAGCAAATGGAGGTGTTCGGCGCCGAAACCGAGCATCCATTTTAGGCATCGGAACCTGCAGCATGTGCCGGGACACCCAGAGAAGCGCAATCTGTCGCTGTGCGTCCAGCTGGGCGTGTTTGGGCGTGTCTTTTTTTGAGTTGGCACCCTTGTTATCAAAGGGAAACCAAGAGGAACATCACCAATTTGGGCAAAAAGACACATCCTAATGAGCTGTCTTTGGGCTTTGTTTTTTGCGGGCTTTGGTTTGTTTCTTTGGTTCCGTTCAGTGTGCCAGAGGAAAAGAGGTCGTTTGCGAACTTGGTTTGGGAAATCTGGGGAAGAGATTGCAGCTCCACTTAACGCAACTTTTGGCTTCAACAGCCCGACCCGCCAGTAGGCTCGCGTGGTTGCCGCTTACTAGGAGCAACTTCGCTGTCGGCAATTCTCCAGCTCCTTCGGACGCGAACTATCCATCCAAAACCACACAGCCTTCGAACCGCGCGAAGTGGAAGCAATCTGTTGGCATGGCTAGAGCACTCTGTTGGCCCAAGCGAAGCCCCGACCTTTTGACCTCGTGGTTTTCCTGATTTGGGTACCCAACGTTCAGTGGCCTCAAGGTGATCGCCTTTGATTCTTGAGTCCCCTAAACCTGCCTGGCCGCCTTGCAATGTGAGTCTTGCGGATTGGAAGTTTGGACACGAAAGGTGAATCGCAACTCAGGGGAAATCCAGTGACTGTCTACACCCTAGCCTTCGTGAGGAAACATCACTTTCAAAAGATTATTCTTTCCCCTAGGCAGCGAATGAAAGGGCTGGTGAAAGCGATGTATCATTTACTCTCGAAGAATTCGCGACCAGGCTTGTTTGCATGAGTTGAGCGAATGAAAGTAATGCTGACCCCAGATGAATCAACCCCAGTTTATGAAAAGGGGGGGCGTGTTTCTGGGTGAGATGCGGGGAATCAGCACATAAAATGATATAATTATGTCCTTTTAGTTTCCCTTTATGCCCAAAAGGGGTCGGCCATTTTCAGAAGCCACGATGGACAAACTTCTGCACTTTGAAGCCATGCGGAAACTCTTGTTTGTTGGCATTTTCCAGCGAATGGAATCAGAAACCAGGGTTTCTGAACGGTGGTGCCTAAGATGATTTCGCAACCATCCACAGTATTGCACGTCATCCGCGTTCGCTTCTCAGTTGGCGAGCCCAAGAGAAGTTGCTGCCGCAGCAGCAGCCCGGGGCCCTCAGTTCGCACGCCATCCGGACGAGTTTCGTGTAGCGGGGTGCCAAGTGACGAAGTTTCTGGGCCGTTTGTAGGCGTACACCGCAGGATGTTGGTGTTTCTTGGTCAGACTTCTTAGACCTTTTGGATTAGGTAACCCTTAGCTGGGTTTGTATGGGTGGATTCGGATTTGCACCCTTCCTTTTGGCTTCCTGTTGAAGCCAAATGAGGACGGTGACCCCTAAGGTCCAAACCAAACCAAAGCACGTAACTAGGGGCAAGGCAGTCCAGGGGTCCCAGACTTTCGCAGTTGCTGCGCCCGCATTTGTGCGCATGGGCGTCCAAAGCTTGAGAGACGGGCCCGTGGAACATGGTCTTCACTGTTCTTGGCATGTGGTTGGGTTTTTTAGTTTCTCGGTTCTGTTCATTTTTACTGGGGGTCTGCAAAAAACAAAGTTTTTCGCTACCATACCAAGAGTAGAGATGTGGTGATTCCAGGTGAACAATCAACACCCGGTAAGTGAAGGTAAGGGACGATCCCCTTGCCATGAATAGCTGCGGAGATCAAAGCTGGGTGCATTGGTTTAAACAATCAACCGCACAAAGTCCGCCCATCAGGGAAGCGATGTCATACACCCCGGTTCAAAAGGGACCCTCTGGTGAGTTCCATGTTGGACAGAGCAAATGCCTGGCACCTGAGTCACAACCAAAACCTGGTACACAAATGGTCGACCTGCGGAATCAGTCTCATGCTCGTTTGCTACAGCGAGAAATGTGTCCACACCATATATTTCTGTTCACGTGTTTGTTTTGGTCCAGAGCGCTGCGTCAAAAGCATATCGCCGGTTCCCACCTTGTTTCCCGGGAGCTGGGCGCGGTCGACGGGGGTGGGGGGCATTTCTTTTCTTCCACACCATTGGCCTGTGTTTGAGTTCTAGGTCCCCCTGTAGTGCCCTGTTTACCAACTTTTTTGGGGGAGGGTTCCCCTACTAAAATAAACAAACAAACAAAAAAGTTGGTACCCTGATTCCAACCTCTCTACTGGAGGGAGGACCTAGACTTAGTAAGCCATTCCAAGAGCCACACCCCGTCTGCACTTTGCTTCTGGCCATCGCCCGCAGCTTGAGAATGCTCAAGCCGCGCCGCTGGGCTCTTTCGGTTGCTGCCGGGCCCTCGGCGAAAAGGCGAAACAGTCCCTCTGCCTGGAACTCGGAGAAGTGCTTTCCCTCTATTCGTTGCTTCAAGAGAGAGAGAGGGAGAGGGAGAGGGAGAGAAAGAGAAAGAACAACACAACTTTTAATTTGGTGTCGCAGCAAAAGAGGTGTCGGTTGTCATTGACCGTTCACAAACCTGGAATGATTCGATTCCCCAACGCACATACTAACCGCAAAGATGGCTTCAACCATGGTTTCCTTGCGTGGTGCGACGGATTTCGTCCATCCACTGTATGGGCAAGGTGGGGAATCGGCTCAATCGACCAGCCCCCTCAATCATTCCAATCCGCCGGGGGCATCCGGATTGGAATGTAATGTCGCATATGAATCTGATTTGGGTTCTTGCAGGTGATTCTCAAAATGGGCTTGTTTTTTTAGTGGGGGGAACTAAAGAGGAACCGCAGGGAACATCAATATGTGTTCTGTTTCAATAGGGGGGTGCTTCTCCGGTGAAACGTGGCTGGAATCAGACCGCTTTCAGAGGTTTCCATTTGTTCAAGAATATGTGTTGAAGAAACCCCTGTTGGATTTTAAAGGGAATCACTACTGGACATATTGTTTATTTGTTCAAAGGAAAATAAGCTACTGGGGGAATCTATCTCTAAGGGAATCCCTATCCTGGGGGCGAAGAAGCAAATGGAAGGAGGGCAACACATCGCCTTAGAGGTGCTCCTGCCCGCGCTCAGCTTCATGGCGGCGAACACTGCCAACGTGACCAGCCGCTCGGTTGGAAGGCCTTCAAAGGGCCCTTTGCCGAGCCGTGCAAACGGATCCCCTGCGACAGGTTTACCGTGCTAGCCAACATGGGTTTGTGCACAGACCCCTGTAGAAGGACTACTTTCCTCTTGGAAAGGGCCTTTTTGCACTTCCATGTTAGTTGGTGGGAGGGTAATCACTTCCTGAGTTCCTGGACTTACAACTTCTTGGGAGCACAGTGTTGGTGGTAAATAAAGTTCTGACTTGTCTTTGGCCCACCTGCTCAGGAAGTGAGTTTAAAGCTCAGTGGGTTGAATGGAAACCCCCACTAAACCAACTAAACACGCCTAAACCGCTACGGAACCGGACGATTCGCTGGGAACCGCCGAGCAAGCGAGCCCCCTTGCCCAGTTTGACGTTTTCCTTCAACAAGGAATGAATATCTTCCCACATGCTTTGGGGGACACAGACCCGCTTTGCAGATTGTAAGGGAAAGCCAAAAGAAAAACTTGTTTTTAAGACACTCCCAACTGAGGCACAATCAAAAACCCGTTAGATGAAGGTTAGTAAGGGCCAAATTGCAGCCATAGATAGACGCGGATATTTGCTTTTTTATTATTACAATAGTTTTGGGAGTCGACCATGTCAATGCCAATCGGTTTTGATTATGACTCACATGGGGCGGCTCCACTTTTTTACCACCATTGACTTCGGTGGTCCTTTTGGCTTTTGGTGTCCCTTCTGAATCACTGAGGGGTCCAAATGCCATTTGTTCCGCGAGAGACATGAGGGGACTCAAAGGTCCTATTTGGCAAGGGCCCCCTACCAAAAAAGTGAATATCGTGAATAAATCATATGTACATCATGGTATAGTTGTACCAACCCGCAGGTCTTACACAATTTCCATTTGGTTAACACTATTTTTTAATTTTCCCTGTTGGTTTAAAGGGAATCTATCACTACTCGATTTTTCCAGGGGACTTAAGCAAATGGAGGAAAAGCAAAGGCGGAACAGGGCAAACTGTTGGTTCTAACTCTTACTGGAACTTCGGCTGTTTTACCCTCAAGATTGCGAGGTTTACCAATCCCAATAAGGGGTTAATCGCGGACTACTAGGGTCTATCACACAGAAGGGTACGCCATAGAAAGCTGCGTTTCTGAACCATGGCAAACAACACTTAGAAAAACTCGAGAAAACCAAGCTTTCACAGGCAAAACGACAAGACAAAGAAGAAGAAAATACTCGCAAACTCGAGAAAAACCTTTGGGTCTATTCTACTTGGTGGCTTCCAGCCATCCGGTTCCTTACCTTTAAAACCAAAAAAAAAAAGTATTTTAGTGTTTAGTGCTAGTTTTCCCATTTAACCCACTAAAAGAAGGTTCGTCAAACTTTCAGCGGGACATCCGAAAACGGGCCCAGAGGCTTCCTTTTGCCCATTTCTTTTACCATCATCCCCTCCTTTGGAGCGAGCTAAAGGAGCGAGCCATTCGCTTCGAAGCTTCGAAGCCGAGGCGCGGACACGGCCTTGGACCTCAAGAACATCCGCAGCGTGCTGCAGCGGATGGAGGCGAACACTCCGCCGACGTTTGAACGAGACCCCGAGAAAAAAAAGGGGCGGGGGAAGGGGGGGAGACCAAGGAATCCCCAGGCGAATCGGGCAGATCCTGTGATTTTGTTTTGGTCGGCGTTTGATTGAAGCCGTTTTTTTGTTGTTGTTTTCTTGTATTTTTTTCGGTTGGCGTTCCACCCCAGTCTTATGAAAAATATGTGGCTTTAAAAGCTGGCCAACATGTCATAGTGGGTTGCTGGTGCGATAAGCAGGGAATGTTGGGAATGAACCGTTTTGGGATTCCCGTAAAAGGAGAGCATAGGGATTTTTTTCTTGGGGTCAAACAAAGAACAAAAAGGTACCCTCAAAAAAGTCAGACACAGTTGGTTCTGGAAATGCAGTACTCGAAATCCAGCCGGAAAAGAGCGGTAGTTCGCTGTGCACTTTTGGGCGTTTCTTTCGACCCGCTTTGGGTTTTTTCAAGGATGGCTCCCTTGGTTACCTACTATACTGGCAAATGGATCCACCGCGCTTGAGGACTCCATCATTTTCAGCCTGATCGAGCGGGCGCAGTACCGCGTGAATAGCCGGAGCCTTACCAGCAAAACAGGTTGCCAGCCGGATCCTGAAGTACATACGGCTGCCTGATTGTTGATCCTCGCCTGAGTTGGAGAATTGTGCCCTGCAAATCTTAAAAGGTGAGGAGATGATTCGGATCATGTTTTCTACCTTTGTTCTTACGTTGCAATAGGAGAATCCTCAGACCTTGACCTGTTGCAGCCGCGCGTGACATGTTCATTCACCCAAGGCGCCCAAAACCCCAAAAGGCGTTGATGTCCAGGCCTCCGCAAGACAACCGGTTTCCACGACCTTTGGTTGCAAGTGATTATCTGCGAAGCGTGGGGCCAAAAATCGATTCAGGTGATGCACCTGAGGATCCATCCTTTCTTGACCATCTCCCCGCTGGGTTCCTCCAAGCAATCGTCACGTCAGGATTGGGCTTGCGACGTCTACTTAAGCTTCCTTTCATAGGTTTTATGTTTCTTATTTTCAGTTGGTGAAATATCATACTCAGTTGCCCAAAGCCAACCTTTTGCCCTTTTGGTGCTCCTGCTTTGAGTTGGGATCTCATGTTATCTCTGCGTCCAAGCTGGGCAAATGTTGTTCTTTTGTTCTAAACCGGGTGCCGGGTGGCTCTAGTTGGAAAAGCTGTAAACAAAAAAAGCCCGAAGCCACTCTCGGAAGTCTAAACAGATGAGCCACGTGCTCAAAACCGATTCGGGGAGATGAAGGTAACTTCACTGTTCTTGGCATGTTTTTTGGTTTTATTGTTTGTTGGGTCTTGTCATTTTTACTGGGGGTCTGCAAAAAACAAAGTTTTTAGCTACCATACCAAGAGTAGATGAAGGTTAGTAAGGGACAATCCCAACCACTACATCGCTGCGGATATCCGCCTTCATCATTCTTTTAGCATGGTTCTGCGTCGACCATTTAATACCGGGTTTTGATTGTCAATCAGACGACACACCCATTTTCTGGTTGAAACGCCCGCTTCGGCCATCGCATCATCGCGTCGGCCCGAGCCAGGCGCGGTCTACGAGCCGAACCACAAACCGCTGGGAAGGCGGCGGCGGTCAAAAGATCTTCGGGTCGACTCGTGGAACTTTCTTGGCTTCGAAGCCAGCCATCCGGTATACCTTGCTTATTTATTTTCAGGATTCGGAGCCCGCAAATGGCGCCTTTCGGCTTTGTCCTTTTGGTTTCCCGATTCAAAACCGCCAAAAAAGAAGCTGGCTGGTAGTAACTTAGACTTGGTTTCCCTTCAAAACAACAAGAAAAGAGCTGGTAGGTAACTGCCAGCTCCAAAAACAAGACGACCGTGCGACCCGGACCCACATGCTGGTTTCTTGTGTAATTTGACAGGTTCGCCTCAAATTCCCGAGAAAGCAAGGGTACCTCGGTCCCCCAGTAGTGCCCTCATCTCCCCTTTTTTGGTTGGGAGGATTCCCCTACCAAAAAAGACCTACAGAACAACTTATTCTAACCTCTCAAATCTGGAGGACCTAGCAACTCCAAAAAGCCGACCGTGCGCGACCCACAGGGCCAAATGGCCGGCCATTCAACGGGCCTGCGAGCTTCAAAGGGTTGGGGCACAGGAAAACAGCCTATGTACAATGTTTTGGGGCCATTTCCGGTAGATTTTCCTGCAACCATACCCTTTGAGAGCGGCTCGGCAGGTTCAAGCTACACGAGCTGAAGAGCGCAGGCTCAAACGGCTGTCTGGGGGACTGGCGCCATCCCCAGCGCTTCCGCCACGAAAATGGCGCGATGGACCGATTTCCCCAAAAGGAGCGAGTCCAGCGAGCTCGAGCTGAAGCGGGTCTGTGTTGTTTTTCTTCTTCTTGCGTTGGTACCTCGTTGTTTGGGTGGGCTTCTTTGTCTTTGATTTGCTTGGCGGTACCTCGTTGTTTGGCCGGGCTTCGTTGGTTTTGTAGTTGGCCCCTCGTTGTTGTGGCTTAAATGGGCACGAGCAAAATCCCCGCCATTTCTGGGGGGGGTCCACGAAAAAAAAAAAAACGACACGCCCAACTGGACTTCAGCGACTACCTACCCTTTGGCGGTTCCCAGGCCTCCGGTTCCTTTGGGGGAGGCGTTTAGCCCGCAAGTTCAGCTGGGGGATCGATCAGTTTGGAGGGCCTTTGGTCACCTGGGTTCGGTGGTTCCATTTTAGAGGAAAGTAAAAAAAAAAAAGAAAAAGTTCAGGGGAGTTGAGGTCAGGGAGTGCACTTCAGAAGGGAACTCGTACTTCGAGTACTTCAACTTCCCACTTTGTTTGGCACATCCACTCAAGCGAGTTTAGGTTCAGGGACCCCCAATTTGTGGCGTGGATCGGTGGCTCGGGGATTGGAGGGTAAATGGGAAGCCGCCCCTGACCACGAAACCGCCGACTCGGCTCCAAACCGCCAATTGCAAGATGGTGTTCCTTCGGTGTTTTCCTTAGCCAACTACTAAGGGATGCCCTGAACAAGAAGAACATACCCATTTTTTCAATGTGAAGGAAGCTGACTCAAGTGAGTCTAGGCCCCCTCCCTTTTGACCGTTGAATATACCCAAAACCCAATTCCAGGCCTCCAGGCGGACAGATCCCGCGCGGTTGGGGCGGGGGGGGAGTTGTTCTCCTGGAAATTCCCTTCTCCCGAAACGGCGGATGGCTTTTCCGTTTTTGCCTGGGAACTCGGGCCTGGGATTTTCCATGACTCGGTCCCCCAGTGCCCCTTCTCACCGATTCTTTTTCGGTGAGGGTTCGGGACCCCACTAAAAAAGACTACAGAAGAAAGTTGGTGCCAACTTATTCTAACCTCTCAAATCTGGAGGACCTAGATGAGGGAAAGCCCCCTCGCAGGACTGTCCTTAAGGGAAACCAATAAAAAAGGATAATAACACCAAAAAAAGCACAAACTTTGCATGGTCCCTTACGACATAGCCACATGGGCGCCTTCCAGACGAGTCCTTCTTCCAGGTCCATCCATGCGTGTCATTGCGTGTCATTGCGTCCACCCCACGTGAACCCAAACCCCAACCACGTGAACGGCCTGATGTGTTCGTTCCACACGGGACTGGCAAGCTGGGCCTTCCATTCCCAGGTTCATCTACCAGACTGAGTGCTTGCACTCTCAGGTGAGGAGGCGCGCTTCCCCGCGCATCCGCATCTGGAAGGAATTTGACTCCTCGAATGCAGTCAGGTTTCCGTTGCGGCGGGAAGACGATTTCCCCCTTTCACCGTCAGGTTGATGGTGCTCTTCAGGAAACAAACGCCCCACTGTGCTCTTTCCTTCTGGCACCCTCGAAAAGAGAAATCGGGTGATATCCCCCTGGAACTGAATCTCCTGAGCCTTCCCTGAGAGCTGCTTTGAGACCAAATCCATGCTTTCCAGCGGTTGGGGAAACTTTCAACACCACCTCTGGGCTCATCTAAGCCACACCTCCCAACTCTGAAGAGCCAACCCAACTCTCCCCCAAGGATGCACGTGCTCGTTTGACCAACGAATGGGGAATCAACCCTTACTAAGAAAGGAACCAAAGCGCCCATGAGATTGCTACCCGTAGTTCAGACGAACCATCCACCCAGTTCCCAGCAGCGTTCCCAGGACTTCGGAGCTGCAGCTGGATCAACTTCTTTTCGGAAAAGCATCCAAAAATCAGGGGGTTCACGATGGTTGCAATAGAATTGGGAATCAACCCGTAGACCCCTTTCTGTGTAAAACCACATGGAATGGAAACCGCACCCTTCCGGGTCTTTCCCTTTCAAAAAATCTTTGGAGAGATGTGTTTGTTGTTTTTTGTTTTCGCCCTTTCGGCGTGTTTTTGTTCCTCCATCCGCCAGATATGAGCACCCCACAGAGTTCGCCTTCTTCGGGCCCTTGCCGGAGCCACCGCCTTGGGAGCACTCGGGACTCGGGACTCGGATTGCCGGAGCCATGTGGAGCAAGTGCCACATGTGGCTGTGGTTGTCAAAACCGTTTTGGGATCCCATGTTGGTTGGTAGGTGCACCACACATTTTAGGACCCATTTTAGTGGGGATTGGGATGTTCACGGGGGGTACGGGATTTTGGCCCACAGCCACGTGGAACAAGTACTTGACTGCTATTGGGGAACGGATCTTTAGACTTTAACTTGTTGGTTGAAATCACTAAACCCACAAACAGGGGTCAACTTGGGCCAACAGCAACCAAGAATGAGCGTGTCTACTCTGGAGGCTAGGTCAGTTTTGTGGTTTTCAGGGAAAGCCAACAGGAAAAGCCACGGCCACGGTTCTTTATAAGACATTCTCGAAGGAGCCACGTCCTGAAACACCCGGGTAGATGAAGGATGAAGGAGAATCCCCAAAAAAATGGGCGTGGAAATCCGCCTGCTTCATTCCTTATATGGCTCTAGACCAATACGAGACCAGGTGTTGATTGTCACTCACGTGGTATCTCTATAATATGTATATATATATGTATATATGTATATGTATATATGTATATGTATATATGTATGTGTATCTATGTATATATATATATATGTGTGTATATGTGTATATATATTTTGCCGTGGTCTCAAAAGATCGGTTCCTTTACTTGGGGGTAATGTTGGGATGGTGAAATCGACCTGGTAAGTAAGGATCCTCAACCATTCAGGAGGGAACCATGGCCGTAGGCCCTTTTGTGGAGTGATCTTTGTGTTTTGTTAGGGGGCCCATAAGGCGTGTAGCAGATACCCTAGTGGCTACAGAATGGCTGAATATTCCATGAACCCCAGGATAGTGGTTTGTAGCAGGGGGTGGAAGCCATCTAAGAACCCAGCCATATAAGGGGTAAAAACAAAATGGGCACATACTCCCCTACCAATCCAAATGATATTCCTCATTCCCACCGGAGTATGTTTGTGGGGGGCGGGGGGGGGGGGAAATGGGTGAGTATCCAAGGGTTCCCCAATCCCTGCACTCATGGTTCTCATAAGAGAAACCATCCGTTTCCCCAGGAGCAGGCCCATGTTTGAAAAGAAGGGTTCCCAGCTACTTGGGCGCAGAGCGTTGCAACTGTTGGGTCCTTCCCTTTTTCGCCCGCGGACGGCGGACGCCCCAAACCCGCCCAACCACAAGGTCCGATTGGAGCAAATCATCTTGGGTCCCTGGCTCTCCGATCTGCAAGAGTTAGGGCATCCACCGCTTCAGGCTACTCGTGTCACCTTGGCAAGGGAAGCCAAAAGGACTGTTTGTTGTTTTTACCCAAATCGTTCAGGGTCCTCAAAAAACCCTCGCTGGTCTCAAGGATGTGCCCTACTTGCGTGTCCGATTTGCCCAATAAGTTGTTGGCAACAATTCGGACATAAGTTATAAGCCACGTTCAAGTGGGTTTTAAGTTATAACCCACCTATTTTGGCACCCTTCGGTGGAGTTAACCTTGTTAGTCGGCCTAAAGCCCAGGTAGGTCCACCACTTACTCGGAAACGAGCATCGCCCCAAGTCCCTTTGCGAACTTTCGATCGGAGCGAGGCCCAGCCTAGGGAAGAACGCAGGGGGTTCAGGCCCCGACGCCTTTGGCTTGTGCCATTGGCAAAACTCGGCTTTTCGTTGGCCTATGGTCATTCCCTTGCTGGGAATCGTTGTGGTTAGGATCTTTACTACCATGTGGAAGACCATCCCTGAGAATCCCAAGTAAAGAAACGCGGTCTTTTGACAATGGCACACATGGAGTCTATGACAGGACGGTCACATAGTCGCATGCTTTTGTAGTTTGTTGAGGTTTGATTGTTGTTTTGTTTTCTGCTGCGTCTATAGTTTGTTTTGTTGGTTCTGTGTTGTTTGTTTGTAGTTTGTTGTTTTCTGTGTTTGGGTTTTTGGTTGTGTTTGTTTTGTTGCTAATTTGTTGGTTTTGTTGGTTCTGTTCATTGTTCTGCTTGTCGGTGGCTGCAACAACTTTGCTTTGTTCCGACGTACCAAGGCTTGAGCAGATGTGTCATCAATTTCTCCGAGAACTCCTGACAGGATCAACTCCACTGAACGGGGGACCAAAACGAATGGGTTATCACTGTTGCCAACGACTTGGCAAATCGAACACCCAAGTTGTCCAACGACCCTTTGCTTCTTCTTTTTTGTCGAGAGGATCTCGCTTCAAAATCTCCCCCCAACAAAGCAAAGGATGCCATATTTCCCCCCAACAGGGCTGTTGGCTTCATAGTCCAATGGTCCCTTGACTTCCCGCGAAATGCAACATGGGATTTGGATGCCATGAACGTTAACCCAAAGCGGCTTTTGAGCCACAAAGAACGACCCTCCCATTTGGGACATACTCAAGGGTTGGAAGCCAAAGGCAATGGGTTCCCCAAGAAACTCCGTTGTCCCCACCGAATCGACCTTTGACCTTTTGGTGTTTTCGAAATGTTGGCCAATGTTCCCTTCAAAAGTGGCAGTTTCAGCGGCACCCACCAGTAAATTGCTACTTCCAGTGACCCCTGATAGTGTTGGTCATCGCCCCTGAGCATGTGTGTATTTTCCTCGTTGGTTTCAACCGGGAATCTACTGGACATATGTTCTCCATTTTTCCCAGGGCCCAAGACGCAAATGACATTTGGAAGAGGTGAGCAGTTTTTCTTCCCAGGCCCGGGCAAGGCCCGAAAGACACCGCAAGATCCCATGGCGCAGGCATCCTAGAGGAGCCCGTGCTGGCGCCCGTACCACCAGAGGTGCGGCTTAAGAAAAGGGGACTCCTTGGCGCTTGGCGGGTCCGTAGGTCCCTGTTTTTGGGGGAATGAACAAGATGAAGGGAAAATGATGAACAAAGGTTAACATGGTTGTTGTTGGGAAACATGAGCAACATGTTTGCTTATCGGTTTAGTGGGAAATCACCACTTAACTGCTAAAACCTGACAATTGTTGCTCCCCTTCCAACGTCAACCAAGTCAAGCTGATCATATCTGGGATCTTTCTTCATTTGGATCTTCATCTTGCTGTTTTGGCACTTGGGGAAATGATCAGGATGAAGGGGAAATGAACAAAGATTAAGATGTGGATTTGTCATTCTTATGATGGGCAACCCCGGATGGGTGGTGCCTCTTCGGGGAACAAACCAGTTTGACATACTTTGACCATGGCTCATATATGGGTAGGCGTCCAAACTGGTGATTGTTCCTCGGGATCTCCTTACCCAAAAAACACATGGGTATGTGTCAAAATTGCCCCCCCCCCCCCCCAAACTGGTGTTCGGTCCTTTGCATGTCCAAAAAAAGAGAGAGACCCTCAAAAAGTCAACATGCCACCCGCGCCTGTGTTTCTTTCTTTCTTTTTCGCCGCGGGTCCGCGTCCCAGGCGATTGTGAACAAGAAGCTTCTGGAGATCTACCGCAGCAGCATGATCCCTGAGCTGCCACAGTCCCAGCCGCCAGTTCAAGTTGGGCAAGTTCATGTGGCTGTGGTTGTCAAAACCGTTTTGGGATCCCATGTTGGGGTAGGTGCACCACTCATGTTTGTCTTTTGTTGTTGGCATTGGGATGTTCGCTGGGGGTACGGGATTTTGACCCATGGCCATGTGTCGAAACCGGATTTGATGAAGGGGGTTTTGTGTTTTTTGGATTTCTTGGTGGTTCGGTTGCCAGGCATCCGGTTAGAGGTGTTTCGTGGGTGAAAGGCGGCAGTTTCCTGAGCCAGTAAAATATATTTTAGCAGTCTGGGAGCAGCTCAGCGAAGGGATACCAAACGAAGGCTTGCATGTCATATGCTTCAAGCGGTTGGCCCCTCCCCGATTCGCAAAAAACAAGTTTGGAGGTTGTTGGGCCAGTCCACTCGATCAGCCGTGAGCTGCTCGTCGGGGCTGTGGGTGCAAGAAATCCCAAGCAAGTTGAAGGGAATACTACCATACTAGGGCTACCTTCCCCATTCCTTCCAGGGATCCTTTTCTTAGGAAACCATCAAAAACCCAGGGAAAAAGCTAGTTTTGAAAAGGAACGATGGCTGCAAAGAATGGACAAGGAATCAACCCCTAGAACCAGACTACCCTCAACCCGTTCGCGAACGACGCGCACCGCGCGCCCGAGACACGGGAGGTGTATGGAGGGCGACGACGGCAACTATGGATCCACCGCCCTGCAGGACGTGCCTGGGGGCCAAGAAGGCGGCGGGTCCACTCCCTACGAAAAGGGGGGGTGGGGTGGTGGGGGGTTTGCTTCCATGTTCTGAAAGGAATACGGTGGATGGTTGCGAAATCCGGAAATCGCACCACCTAAGAAACCATGCTTGAAACCATTGTTTGCTGGAATTTACAGGTGAATCATCATTCCTCCGTTTCGTAGGTGGTGCCGGATTCCGTCCATCCACAGTAGTGTTGATTTTCCACTGTCGATGTTCAAGGAAATATCTCTCTACTGACACATATTGTCTTATTTTTCCCAGGAGGCCTAAGCAAATGAAGCCTATACCGCCCCCATTTCGATGGTTTGAATGTCAAAGTGAGTTTCCCTTGGCAAGACTGTGTTGAGGGGAAATATGGTGAGCAGTGCTATTGGGTCTCTTTTTGTCAGGGAACCTGAGGGTGTTTCGAGGCTTAACGGAGGGCGTGGGGAAAAAGTGGATGGCCCCTTTGGAGAAGCAAGAAACAGGGTTTTCGATCTGGGTGTGACTTGAACATGGGGGATCCCAAGAGAAATACTTAGTAATATGGGGGGACCTGAGAAGATACGTTGTTCCTTGTAACTTCCCCTTGTAATGAACCACTCCAAAAGGGCTAGCCTCCAAAGACACACCCACATCTTCCTGTAAAACATCTCACCGAAGCCAGTGTCCGGACGATCGCCAGATCCAACCAGCCCAAACCGAGGGAGGCGGGGGGCTGGGGGTGGGGCGAAAAACCTGCTCGATGACCTGTGTCAAGCTCCCCCCCTCCCTCAATTTTGGGGCACCCCCGTGGATTTTTATTTTTGCAGGCCTGACAATTTTGGGGCACCCCGCCTTGATTTGTCTTCCCCACTGGATTAAAGTTCCCACCCAGAAAGTTGATCACTTGGATTTCCCCCAAAGACAAAAAGTCGCCCTTTGCGGCTGAGGCATGTCCTGCAGACCATGGCGACGCGGATTTATTACGGACTGCCCTTCGCCTCAGATTTCTCCCTCTGGGCTTCGCCACCGCTTCAAGAAGACCTGGGCCCATGGGCAAAGCGGCTTCGCCATAGGGCCAGACTGGGGAACCCCTTCTCATAGGGGTAAGGGGGCTGGTACTACGAAATTAGAGGTGCACCGCAGAATGGGTCGCCATTTTTGTGTGTCCCTTTTAAACCAAGCCCAAAGAGGGTTTTCCTGAACAAAAGCAGGACTTCGTGTTGGTTAGCCTCAAGCCCTGTGTTGGGTTTGGATTTGTTTGTGTTGAAAGTTTGCCCAAATATGTCGCGAAATGGCTTTCGCCCATCCACAGTAGTGTGTTCTGCTTGATGAGCAATACAAGCTAGATGAATGAAACTGCGGACCCAATCCCATCCCCTTTTATGACCCTGTGCTTTTCTGTGTTGCTATATGGTTGGATCTCTAGGCTTGGCGATGTACCAAATACACAAGCGCTAGATGTCACCTCAATACATACTGTATCCCGCGTATGTGGCAACATGGGAGGGGTACACCTCCCATTCCCTTGTCGAGCTAGCGCACTGCCAGCATTTCCTCCATTTGCTTAAGAATATATGCCTTTGTTTTCCCTGGCAATCTAGCACTACTAGACATTTATCCATGTATTCCAGGAGGCTTAAGCAAATGGAAGACCCTGCCGCGAGTCGTCTTTCTCATTGTAGTCAAGGCTCTGGCAGTTCAGGTTGTGCCTCAACATATTCGTGAGCACGGCTCCTTGCAGTTGCATGTCCCCCCTGAAAATCAGATTTAATTTTTGGCAAAGGAAAACCGTCAGAGGATGTCCATTACGCCCAAGGCACCGCACCCGGGTATATGTCAACTCTCCTCAGGAGGAACGGTGTTGGTGTCCTTAAGCGAGAAAGGAAGAACCATTTGCCCATGGAGTATTAAAGCTTCCCTACATTTGTTTTGTTGGCTCGAGGTCACGGAAATTGACGAAGCAAGTTGCCACTTTCATATACCCCCCAAGGGATGGTCAATGGTGTGACCCCAAAGGCCCCGTAGACCGTTTTGCAAGCACAAAGGCTTTTCCACTCAACCTGCAATAGGCAATAGGTGATGTTGCTCGTTCGAAGCTCGGGGGGCATTGCTTATTGGATTTTAGCGGTTGAAATCCAAATCCACTGAACTGCTACAATAAATTCATTTTTTTGCTCCCCTAACCCAAAGTCAGCCAAGATTGACCGACCCAATGCCCGAGGTTTGTGGCGGAGTCCAAGTTCAGAAGTGAAAAGGACAAGGCCAGCGCCATGATCAAGGCAAGGACTTCGGACCGGGATCGATGCGTGCGACAGTGTGGCTCACTTCTCTTGGCCGTCCCGGTTTCTTGGTTGTTTACGGGTTTAGTTGGTTTAGGGGGGGGTCTTTTCAACCCACCAAATGTGAAACTTGTTGCAGCAGCGCAGTTCCCATTCTGGACTTACATTTTTTGGGGGGGAGAAGATCGGGAGACCACGTTTTGAAATCGTAACTAAACGGTTTGGACTGTGGCCGTTCCACTCCAGCCAAAGGTCTCATCTCCATGTTGCCTCCAGCAAAAGGAAATGATGTTGGGCCCCAGCGGCCGGCATATTTGCAGCCTGGTGGTAGACTGGACAGCCCGGAAATCAAAACCCAAAACTAGAAAGCAAGTTGGGGTTATGTGGACATGTTGACATTACCTCAAGTGTTGTCTCCCGTGTCGTGCAAAAAATAATCTTGGAAGAGCATGGTTGCTGTCTGGTCCGGAAATGCGATTCAATTCTTCGGCCCAAGGTTCCCCATTTACCAGAAAAGTCTGGTAAACCCTTTAAAGTGGTTGGCTTCTTAGTTTCCCTTGAAACATCTACAAGGGGCCGATTTGGAGAAACTCCCACTTGGTTTGCCTAGCTCAATGGACGGCCTTCGCCTTGGCCTCAGGATTCACAAACACTGATTGATGCCGCCTTGAATTCAAAATGGCGTGGGTGTCCCATCGGAGATCCTACTACTTTCGAGGGAAACCAAGTCCCCTAGAGTGACATGGAACCCCCTCCCCCCCCCCAAAAAAAATGGGCTCCATTTCCGTTTGTAGGGTCAAACCCCAAAGTTTCGAAGATCTGCATGGCTGTGGGTCAAAACCAATGGTACCATATTGGGATAGGTGCACCACCCATTTGAGAACCTATTTTAGTGGTTGGATTGGGATGCTCACGAGGGATAACCGGGCTCTTGACCCACGGCCATGTGGACATCCCAAGCCCTTTGTTCAGTTTCCTTTGGGGACTCGGGACTAGTTTCCTTTGGGGACTCGGGACTCGGTTTTGACCCATGGCCACACAACGCCTCAAGAGCATTTCCGTGGCCCGCATCTGGAAAACTGCCTCCACCAAAATTCGCCTTGAGGCGAGGGACACAGTCCGGAGCCCAGTGGGTGCCTTTCCCCGGCCGAAGCTCCGGTGTTGGTCGAGTTGCAGCCTGTGGTGGGTTTAGGACCCAGTGGCACAGGTGTTTGCCCATGACCCATGTCGATGGGTTTCAGTTTATAGGGCCAAATCGGCATGGGTGCTGAGAGTTCTCACCAAACGGCCCCAAACCACGCGACTTGGCCCTGGGATTCAATCCACCATTAAAACAATGGGGGCTCATATAACCACCATTGTTTACCTAAGGATTGTCATCCAAATTGGGTCCTTGCCTTTCTTTCAATGGGGGTTGAACCCCGCGACTGGGTGGTTCTTCTACGCGGGCAGGCAGGTTGCGTTCTGACGGAAGTTGTGCGAGTTTCAATTCCAGAGGCCTGCAGCCTGAGATCCTGGGCTTTTAATGTCACTTTTCGGACTGTCGGACCATTTTTGGTGGCGAAATGATCAGACTTTGGAACGCTTCTCCTAGGTCCCCCAGCTAGGTGCCCTTCCGTTTCTTTTTTGGTTGGGAGGGTTCGGGACCCTGCTAAAATAGACAAAACCGAAAAACCAAACGGCACCCTTATTCTAACCATTTCTAACCTCTCTGGCCCTTTTCGGCCCTTCCTTGGGCCCCGGTTTCACCTCAGGAAGGCCTGACAGCCTTCATCACCAAGCCAGAGGTGGAGAAGCGGAACGTGGAGCGGGTCATTCTCAAGGCTTCCGCCTCGCAGGTTGCTTTTGGCTGTCGGGATCCGTGTCCTTTTTGGCTTTAAGACGTTTTTGTTGTTTGTTTGTTTGTTTGTTTGTTTGTTTGTTTGTTTGTTTGTTTGTTTGTTTTTTTGCGCGGGTGAAACCTGGGCGAAAAAAAAGGTGTCCGCAACAGGTGAAAGTTGTCCTCAGCAAGTAGACCCCCCCTACCCTCCATTGCTGAAAAGAATATGTTTGATTTTGCCTTTCGTAGTTAAAGGGAATCGATTTCACTATAGAAATCTGTTCTCACTTGTTCTAGGGGGCGTAAAAGCCAAGGAGGCTACCAGAACCGTGTTCTCCATATGTCCGGCTCGCAGCACGTGGCGCTTGTGTTCGATCCAATTGCGTAGCCGTCAGCACGTCTTAGATGTTAGAGCCAAAAGGGGATGGGCAGTCTTCAGGGAAACCAACTAGCAGGGATCATAGGTGTCCTTTTGGTTGTTTTGCCAGAAAATTGATGGCGATTCGTGGCTTACCTGGTGGTTCAATCATCTACCGGGGCCATCTATTTACCCGAAAAGGACACCTATGGCAGGGATACAGGGGGAACCAGTTGGATACGGGAGGATTCCCCCGTTTGATGCACCTGGAAAAAGTTTGAGAGGGCTTCGGGGCTTCTGATATGGAAGTGCGTGGTGTGTATAACTTGTTATTGTTGGATGTTTAATTGGGTATGAAGGGGATATCAAGCGGAAACTACTCAGGATCTGTGTTTGTTCGGGGGTTGCTAGTTTGCGGGGTTGGTTTGCTTGGTGGAGGGTTTCCAGGCATGGTCATCCACTGCGTGACATATGCTTGAATCAGCATGTTTGATGATTCATCAAGTTCCATTCAGTAACGGTGATCGATAGCTGACATGAAGAGATGGGAAATGGCGCGGGAACCTCCATATCCCCGCTCCCTCCGTATCCCCGCTTGTTCGTTTGTCCAAAGTCTTACTCACAGAGTGCAACTGTGGCTACTTTTTGGGGAAGCAAGGTCGGGCTTGTTTCGCCAATCCACTCAAGCATAATAGGGTCCCCAGTTTGAGAGTTGCTCCTCCGATGCTTCTTAGCCGTCAATGACACGTCTGGAAAGGCCTGTAGCCAGCCAACAACCATTGAGTGAGTCTGGAACATCAAGGTACCTCTAAGATCAGCTTCCTCTTGAAGGGAACTGTCAGGCGCCATGTCAGCGCGCTCCCTGAGTTCCTGAACTTTAGACAGCTTGGCTTTGATCGCCATTTTAGAGGCACGCAAACAAAAAATGCTCACTTCGTCTTGGCTCATGCACTCGATGGGACGTGAGTGCGTCTCAGGAAATGAGGGACTGACTAACAATCCCCTCATGAAATGAGGGACAGGCCCCTATGGACCATCCCATTGTCGATTCCTTGAAGGTACCCTCTTCTTCCATTAGCTGAAATGAACATTTTGCATTTTCGCCTGTTGGCTTTCAAGGGAATCCATTTCACGACTGGACATGTTTTTGGTGTTTTTCGCCAGTTGCTTAACCCAAGCTTAAGAATAGCTGTTATTTTTGCCTGTTGCTTTTCAAGGGAATCTGTCCACCACTGGACAACCCTAAACCCCAAACCCAATGGAAGTCTTGCTGACCCAAAGCCTACGAGGGTCCCAGGGGTCCCCGGGAAGTCCCAGGCGCGCACGTTCTCGCAGAACATCGCGGGGGGGGAGTCCGACGAGCCACTTGGCCGCGTCCCAAAGCTGCGGGCCCCCCTTTGGGCGCCTGTGGTCCCACACCAAGCCGCAAAGTGTTCGGGGATAAACCAACTGATCGAAACCCCAGTGCATGGTTGTCGTTGGGACACATTTTACGTATTTTTGCTTATTGTGGTTTAGTGGGTGAAATCCAAATCCACTTAACTGCCAAAATTTTAAATGTTTGCTCCCCTTCCAACGTCAACAAAGAAGTGTAGCCTCACATACAAGGCTTCACAAAGAGGTTCCTCGGCCGGGTGGTTGGGTGCCATGAAAGTTACGATTTGTCCTAATGTGAACCCCGGATCTAAGCAGAGCCCCTGGTTGATTTTGATCGGGGTCCCGGTGTCCAAATCCTTTTAGTGGGGATTCAGACCACTTTTGGAGGGAACACTCCCCCTAATAATGGGACGGGTTTATTATTCCTGGGTCAACATTAATATGATGTATGATATAGTTTATAATATCATGTACATCACAACATACCATACTATAACATAACATGATATAATGCAATACAATATATGTATATGTGTTTATCCCCTTCCCTTTGGTGATGTTGAACAGCACCTTCTTGTTGCCAAGTTGAACTTCGAAGAAGGGGAACACAGAGTTTTGGGGAGCACGATGTTTGCGTCTCAAAAAAAATCAACAGCGACCGCCATGAGCTTTGGTCCTTTAGTTGCTCATGAGGGTGGCTTCAGTTGATCATGAATCCGAACTCTCAGGCTCCTGTTTGGGCTACCCGTCAAGAGAACCACATTGATCAGCTTGGCCCAAGCCTGGCTGCATCTGGTGCCGGCTAATTCAAATTTGGTCCGAACCACACAAAGTGCACTTGTAAAGGCTGGAACATCCCCCAAACCTTACCCTCAGTTGGTTTGGATTTGAACCCCTCCTTGAGCGTAAATGGCGTTTCCCACCCCGGAACTTCAAACTATTTAAGGCTCCCTGACAAACGGAGCATCCCCCGTACATCCCCATACACCCATTCCGGTGCTTTCGGCTCGCTCACTCCCTGGCTTCCTGACCCTTTGGGGGTTCTGGGGGGGGGGGGGATTTAGTTCCTAGACTTTAGTCATTTTTGGGCTTGGAGATGCTTGGAGCATTTTAGCAGTAAAGATTAGTTTAGTTTGTTTGGCCCATCCACTCGATCGGAGAGCATGACCAAAGGGCTAGGCTTGCACCCACTTCGCCCCGCCGGACGTGAGGACCCCACTTAGCCACAAGGTGAACCCCGACTTCATCGGCGCCTCGGATTGATGGCAACAAAGTTGGCACATCAGTACTTGCTTTCTGCGCAGGAAAGGAACGGAACCACGTGTTCTGTTCGAGGAAGGACTGGGGAGTCCAACCAGGGCTTGGCAACAAAGCCGGAGGTTGTTGAAAAGCAATAGCGATTTCAACATGTTTCAACGAGGATATCAACCCTCCCAACCAAAAAAGGGGTGAGTAGGGGCACCTACCCGGACAAACCCAGACATGGAAGCACAAGGAACACCTTGCGCCGGGAAACTGGGCAGGTGGCCAACCCCCCCCCCCGGGTGCAAAAAGAGCTGGCAAGTGGCCAGAATAGCATTCATGCTGGAGAGTGATTAGTAAAGGACCCCCCCAAAAAAAAAAACGAATTGGGGAGGGTCAATAGCGAATGGGGGTCAGACTGGGACCTGCCTGAGTAGTCTTCTAGTAAGTATTGTTTAGAATTGGTTTAGTATTGGTTTAGTATTCCTTTGAGCTGGCTCACTACGGTTTAGAATTGGTTTAGCATTAGTTCAGTATTATTTTCAGTTGACTCACTACAGTTTAGACTTGGTTTAGTGTTGGTTCAGTATTCTTTTCAGTTGACTCACTACAGTTTAGATTTGGTTTAGTATTGGTTCAGTATTCCTTTGAGCTGACTCGCTAGTATTGGTCTAGTATTGGCTTTACCTGAGAACAGCGGGGCTTTCTTCTTGGCAGGCTGCCCTGGCCACATGTGTTTCACAATTCCCTACCCTTAAACAAAAACTGCATTAATTGCCTTCTGGGGTTCCGTGTGCCACCCCCTTGAACATTTGTCAGGGTGAGTCTTCTAGTAAAGGGATTGATAAGGAATTTGCTGGTTTGGGACAGGACGCAATCCAGAGATTCGGGACATTTCTGGCTTTACCTGACTACAGCAGCGTCGCTTTCTTCTTGGCAGGCTGCCCTTGGAGCGTGGCGTTGGACTCAAACGTTTCAACCCTCAAAAATAGTCCATTCTTGGAAGGGAACATATTTTCGGGATTTCGGGCCGACCTTGTTTCTGTAATACCCACCCTTTTCTCCTAACTGCTTTTCAGGAGATTGAATAATTGTGAGATTGTGCTTTCTGTATTCACTCCCATTATGCTAGTCGCTATCCAACATTAATTAATGCTGACCCCATATGGCTGTGAGTCAAACATGGGGCAACCCCAAAATAGGTTGCCCTGGCAAATGGAAGCAAAGACTAAAACCAGCGGTCCCCTGGTGGCTTAATTTTGACCCACACCCATATGTTCATCATCCAGCCAGTTTTTAATGTCGACCCCATACTGTTGATGGTTGCGAAATCCTCTTTGGCACCACCGTTCAGAAACCCTGGTGTCTGATGATTCACCTGTAAATACCGACAAACCATGATTCCTCATGGTTTCAAAGTGGTGCAGGATTTTGTCCATCCAGTGTATGCTCATCAACCAACCAGTTTATTAATAGGTGGGGGGTGGTTTTTGGCCCCTCCAAAGTGGTCTGATTCCCCACCAAACCCAGGGAGAAGCACCCCCCTCACTGATAAACTGCGGTTGATTGATATGGGGCCAACATTACCAATGTTGGCCCGCGAATTTGTGCGCTTGTGCTTGTGCATCAAACAGTTGAAGATGGATGCATGAACAATCGCAGCCAAGTATTGCTGATTTGAAGATTTGGGACGCTTAACTAAACCGGAAGGTACTGTGAAGGGACGGAAAATTATGCAAACCACACATTTTGTTGGCCGTATGCTTTAGGTCAACTCTTCGAGGAGTACATCATGCCACTCACCAAGGAGGCTCGCAGATGCTCGCGAAGCATCTCGCGATGGCTGGGGCCAGGTAAAAAAAGAAAAAAGCCACTTACTTGCTTATTTACAATGTTTCTTCACAAATCTTCACAATATTTTCTGGTAGGGCATGGTTGGACGCATCCTTTTCGAAAGCCTGCTAAGAATTTGAGTTCTCGTGATTTCGACTGGAATTCGCGAATTCACACGATTTTTGTGCAATTGATACCTGTGTGATAAAGCACCATTTCCCCGTAAGTTACTGCCACGGAGTCCAGTGGATCAGATTTTGCACAGCCCCCTTGAGGACCGGCCTGCATGCCCCCTGGAAGTTCGCATGAGTCTAAGAAGGCGGTTGAACCGCCTGGGTTCACATGGGCTATGGCAGGCAGGTTTTTTGAACCAAGCCTCAATGGTGTTGAGCGCTCACATGTGCCATTCTACAGAACTGGCTTGAGTCATTGAGACTAGAAAGGGTAAGATTCCTAAGCTTCCATGGCTGTTTGGACGTGGAACATGGCCAATTGTCCGGCAATCGTCCATACAGGTTCAGGTGTTTGTTGCAAGCACGGTGCTTAGGCAGCCTCTCTTTTGCTGATAGCCCACCTGTTGACTTCTATTTGCTTATTTTTTGTTATTTTCCCCTGTTGGTTTTTAAAGGGAATTTATCACTACTGGAAGTATTTTTCCAGGGGACTTAAGCAAATAGAAGTTGATTGGTTTCCTTTGTCTACTTTCAGTTTTGGCAGCCCCCAGACCGGAGCCGTCAGGTGGAGGTAGCGTATTTGCTGGCAAGGCTAGAGCACCTGACTCAGAGGCGCTCGGCACAAGCCGCATGGGTGTTCCTTTTATAGGGTGCTTTAAAGGATGCACTTGGGCCACTTTGATATTTGAGGATCCCCTTGTGAAGCAGGTGGTTTATGGATGTATCCTTTGATGAACCCAGCTCAGTTTGGATAGATTGCACTGGCTTCAGCTTGTCCAAAAGAGCATCTGTGGGCCACATCCCTTTTGGTGCATCCTGTGGATGTGTTGCGGCTTGACTTTGCATCCTGGACCTGTGACCCCGACCTTGGGGTCAACCAAAATTTCCCCTTAGACAACTAGGAAACAAATCACACCGGAAGCATGACCATGACTCGCAAAGGTTTGTCCATGCCTTTTGTTCTGGGGCAAGGACACCAGAAAAAAACGCACCCATCGAGCTGCCGGATTTCTTTCGTCCGTTTCGAGGCCCCGCAGCAGTGGATCGAAGCTTTAGGCAACCCAAAAAACCGCGCCCTGAAAAGACCCCACCAATTAACATGGAGCCTGACCTTTGAGGCCCGGTCCCTCGGACGATGGTCCACAGGAGGTTCCATGTGACAAGGGTGCGAGTGTAAGAGGTTGCGACTTTTTGGGAGCGTCCCTTCCACTTGCATTTCATGAATATGTTTGTATGTTCCCCTGTTGGTTTTAAAGGGACTCGATTTCACTTGTTTGTTCATGTTTTCCCGGGGAGAAACCATGGAAGCTTTGCTCCCTCACTACTGGAAGTAGGTGTTCATGTTCTTGCCTGCTATTGGGTTGGATCTTTAGACTTTAACTTTTTGGGAAATCAAGGGGTTTTCCACTAAGCCCCCAAAAAGTTAAACTTTTTGCAGGGGGGTCAACGGCAACCAAGTTCTCCAGGGAGAAGAAGTCAATGGAAGCTCCGCTCCAACGCTTTGGTGAGACCAAGTCTTCCGAGGCCGGCGAGGCAAGTCTCCACGCAGGAGCTGCGGAAGGGACCGCCCGAAACTTCCGCCCCGGGGTTGGACCTAGAACTTCATGGCTGGCATGGGTTTTTGAGGTTGTTTGTTTTTTGTTTCGGTTTGGTTCTGGTTGTGTTTAGTGCGGGGGCTGGGTTTGGGTAACTAAAGCTTCGGAAGAGAAGCTGTGTGGCAAGCAAAAGTCTCGACTTCTGACCAAAGATTCGGGTTTTTCGGGATGCGCAAGGGGGAAATTTCCGGGAGCCCTGCCCCCAAATTGGGGATTGACACATCGGGCCAGGAGGAAACCGATGTGGACTGGGTCCACAAATAGGCGGGAGGTTTTCATGCGGATGCGCGAGCCGGGGCGTTCTTCCATAACGATTCTGCGGGTTATCCCCCTGGTGGTTGTAAGGAAAATCTATCACTGGACAGATTTTTCATTTTCCCCGGTGGACTTGAGCAAATGGAAGCTTTCCAGTTCGAAACCAGCCACCCGGTTCCTACTGTTTTAGATGTTTTGGGTTGGTTTAGTGGTAGCTCACTCCCTGAGTTCTGGGGTTGAACCATGTCATGTTAGTGGTATACAGATGGGAAAAATTGACTTGTTTGTCCGATCCACCCAGGAAGTGAGGTAATTTTGACCCAGGATTAATACACCCGTCCCATTATTAGGGGGGTGTTCCCTCCAAAAGTGGTCTGAATCCACACCAAAAGGAATTGGACACCGGGGCCCCGATTAAAATCAACCCGGGGCTCTGCTTAATCCGGGTTAACATTAGCGTCCATTGAACCAAAAGTTAATAACACAAAAAAAAACTTCAGAACATCTGCAGCTCGCCTCTAGAGTCGTCCTGTTGCTCCACTAGGTCCAGCAATTGGTGCCCTGTTTAACCTCTTTTTCGGTTGGGAGGGGAAACCCCCTACTAAAAGAGACGTCCTGAAAAAGTTGGTACCAACTTATTCTAATCTCTTTAGTGGGAGGACCTAGTCTGCCACCAACTTTGGGTGTTTGGCGCTGGACCCCTTCAACCGCGAGGCTTCGAACGACGAGCCACCCTACACAGTTGAGAGTTTTCCCCACTTGAGGGTTTTGAGCACATCGGTTGGGCATTTTTCGGATTTCAAGGGGTCAAATCCATACTGTGGCTCCACCCCTCGGGTAATATCCATTGGCCAGGCTGGACCTGCGCAAAAAAAGCAAAAAGATCCCCGCGCGCGCGCTCGCGGCGTTTCTGAAGGGTTCAAAGGGTCGCTGAAAAGAAGTCGCGTTCGATAGGATCTAGCCTCCAACCCTTCCCTTTACCTCTAGGGGTCATGGAGACTCTAGGTACTTCTTGGTTTAGATTGGCCAATGGGAAACCACCCTTGTTCACCACCAAACCACCAATCAGCAAAAACCTGAATCTTACCCTTCCTTACCCTTTTGTCCACGTGATGCAACCCGCCAGAGCGTCCATGTTAAGGCAAAGGTGTCTTCCAGGATCCCAAAACGTCAGGTTCCATGTTAGTGGACAGGAAGGTAAACTCCCCATCCCTAAGGCCGCAAGGCCACAGACAGGCATTATTTCCGACTCCGTTGTGACACATCCGCTGTCCCCCCCGCTCATTTGGAAGATCATCTTCGAAGTCAGTTATGCTGATACATGCTGAAACGTTTCAGGCAAAACCACCAGGACATGAGCTGGGCATTTGTTTTCGGCACTTCCAAAAGGAGCCAAACCAAGACTCAGGTAACCATGAGCTAACGGTTTGGATGGTTTGGGTAATTGAACCCCCACTTCCCTTTGGTGCATTTTGCCAAGGGATGTTAGGACTGAAGAGCTTTTTGATCCAACTAAGGGGTTTTCCGTAGTAAAGCCACAAAAAGTTGGTCACTTTGAGCAGGGCTCCGCAGATGTCGCAGCCAAGTTCCCTGTGTGACACCCGAAGGAGTCCCCCCCCGCATCCCAACCACTGGGATCCAAACCACCTTGGGATGAACAAAGAAGGGGGAGGGGAAATAAGTAGTGCGCGTTTGGGGTTCCTTGCCTTTGTCTTAAATTGGTGTTGGTCTTTGTGTTGGTGTTGGTGTTTGTGTGTGTGGTTGCGGTTGTGGTGTCTCTTGAAACCAGTTGCATTTCCTCATGACACAAGCCCATATGGAAACAAATATGAATCTGGGTATTGTATGGCGAGCTCACTTCTTGCTGGCAAAACAAGCTAAAGCCATGATGTGGCCATGGGTCAAAAGCCCGGTTGCCCCCCAGTGAGCATCCCAATCCCCATTAATATAGGTTCTAAAATGGGTGGTAGACTCACCTACCAACCAAAAATGGGATCCCAAAACGGTGTTGACAACCACAGCCATGTAGGTCCCTCAACTGGCGGAGCCCCTCTGCTTCGCTCAGTGCGGTTCTTGGTGCAAGCCGCCGCTCAGCCGCGCAGCCTGGCCCGCAAGGCCAACTCAGCCTTGGCCGTGCAGCCTCGCCCCATGTCAAAGCGTACGTTCACTTCACTGGTCTTGGATCAATTGCTCTGATTTCTTTTGTGCTTTTTGTTTTGGTTCTGTTCCTTTCTAGTTTCGAGGGCTGCAAAAAAGAGCGGTTTGCTACCATACCGTTTGGATTGTGAACTTTAAAGTGGCCTGACAGGAGACCTGCGGGGGGGGTTGCACTTCAAGCGATCCAAGCTTGACTCGCAAGCTACCCTCGCGATGCTGCCAGCGAATCCGCCGTGGTTTCCCCGTGCCGTATATTCTCACAACCTTTTAGCCCCAAACTGCCTGCATTTGCCTGCTTTTGAGTCAAGAAGTAGCCTCAGAAGGGAAGCCTTTTCACTTGCTTGGCCTTTTCTCACGGCCCACGAGGGTTTTTTTCACCCGGCCCCTCTGCTGGCGTCAACCAGTTGGCCTGTTCACACCCAAAGGGGTGACAAAAACGGGACGGGCAACCCACGGGTTGAATAGCGCCATGGCGCTGGACATGCTGTTTGACCGGGCTTTCGCGGCGAGGCGGGGCGAACCGCTCACCGAGAAAGCCCTGGGCTTGGTATCCTGACGGTTTCCCTTGACAGTGGATGTCCCCGTTCCACTTTTGTTCAGGTAAACCCACGAAGAAGGAGACACGGGCAAATTGGGAGGGTTTCATTGCCTGCTTCCTTTCGCCCTTTACCCTTCCAGGGAGTCCACCATCTGGGTCAATGTGGGACCTGGCAAAAGCATGTCTATGGTACCCTCCCACCAATTAACATGCAACTTGACAGCGGGGTCGTGGAAAACAATTTTGCTTTTAAAGGACCCCGTTGTCAAGTTCCATGTTAATTGGCGGAAGGTAGTTCTCCCAAACAAAGTGTAGTTTGGGGGTGGTGCAGTTTGAAATCCAAGGGAAAGGGAACGACGCCATCGAGAAAAGTTTAGTGACAGGCGGCTACTCCCCTACATGATATCATGCTATATGTTCCCTTGTTGGTTTCAATGGGGATCGGTGAGCAAATGGAAGTCTCCGTTTGGGGAGGCATCCAAAATCCCAGCGCCAACGCAAGTCAGACTCTCCAATTGCGGCCACTGGCGATACGAGAACATTCCTTTGAATTTTGCCTGACAGTTCTTGGGTTGAGGGTGTGGCCCCAAACCATATACCCCATGTGAATATACGTATATAGATATATTATGTATTCAAGAATATATGCATATGTATACATATGAAGAAAACACATACACATATATACACATGAGACCATGAGACGCCATACACTCATAGATGTATTTGTGTTGGCCACAAAATAGCTACAAATGTAGTTCATGGGCGGGGTGTTGACCACATATGTAGAAACACACGCCACAAAGCGGCCAAGACCTGGAGATTTCTGGTTCAGAGTGGAGTGATTGAGGTCCCATGGCTCGCTTTGCGAGCGAATGATTGTCATTCAAGACGCCGCTTATTGTGGTGTAGTGGTGGAAATCCAAATCCACTTAACTGCTAAAATTTGAATGTTTGCTTCCCTTCCAACGTCAATCAAGTAATCCGGATCTGACCTTTTGGTGTTTCCAACGTTCTTCATTTTGGTCACCCTCAAAGGTTACTTGGGGGTTTCTGGGAAAACTCATACTGAAAAACAAGAAGTTTGGTCCACAGGTGTGGGCCCCACTTTTAGAAGCGAGGTCCAAACTGGGCAACGTGAGTCAGTGTTGGAAAACTCGGAACATGCGACAGCCCTAGATGCCCGAGGCGGTATCCACCCGGCACATCCTGCACTGGCAAGCACCTCAACGCCACCTCATTCTGCCTCTCGGCGCTGGGGCGGCGTCAAGGGGCCGTTTTCTTACGTTTGCTGAAGCATGATTCTTATGTTTTAATTTTTGAGGATTTATCACTTCTGGAAATATTTGCATTTTTCCAGGGGCTGAAGCAAATGAGAGCTTTCCTTACGCCCTGAGTTTGTGGGGAGGCCACGTCACAGGGAAACAAACAGTGTGAACTTGTTTTGGCCAATCAGGAAGTGAGTTTCCCGAGGTGTCGACGTTCGGAGAAGCCCCCTTTCAGCTGGACGTGTTGGCCAATCCCAATCCATGATGCTAGGATTACAAAGCGAACCCCTTTTCGGCAACCTAGGGATTTGGATTGCCAACCCAAGCAACTGCTGTCTGGTTTTCCCCGTCAGAGCACCGCCCGGAGGTATCGACATTTGTCTCAGCAAGGAGGTGGATGATGTGACCCTGGAGAGATGCGGGGAGCTTTGTGACTGCGTCTCGTGGCGCCTTGGAGCCGAAGCAGTTCGTTCAGCTGGGATCGAAACTGCTGAGTTGCCCAAAGCCGACCTTTTGACCTTTGGGTTTCTCCTTTTTGGTCTATGTTTAGTAGAGGTCCCAAAAGGTGATCACCTTTTATAAACAGGTCCTTTGGGCCGCTGAGAAATTGCCATCCGGCTCCTGAGGAGTTGAGATCAGTTGGTTTAGTGGGGCATCCTTACTGGTGAAAACTTCAGCGAACGTCGATACATGGCTTGGTGGATCGCAGCCACTGCCATCCGTTGCAAAAGGGTGTTGAGATGTTTTTCATTGGCTTCGTGGCTGGGTGTCCCCCGTATTTCTCCCAGTTGTTCCTGCTTTTAGGTTGGGATCAGAAAACGGACAGCGGAAGCTCCGCCCGGGAAAAGGCGGATCCTTTCCAAAAGGGTGCGTTTTGGTGTTGTTTTTCTCAGAGGTCACTGGAGCTTGGTTTAGCCCTATTCCCTGGCTCCGGAAGAATCCCAGCATTCTCATGAGTCTAGCAATATCACATAGTAAGCCTGAAACGCTACTTTATACATGGTTGTTGTTGGGAAACATTTTTCATTTTTGCTTATTGTGGTTTAGTGGGAATTCCCCACTTACCTGGTAAAGCTTAAATGTTTGCTCCCCTTCCAACGTCAACCAAGTATACGGTTCTACACACACTTGAAACCTTCAAGACCTTCGAAGTTTTTCGGGGCTCAGCTTGGGTGAGGTTTGACGACTCGCGTGCTTGCAAATCAGGCACCGCGGCAGCGTGGATTTGGTCATCGGCATCCTCGGCTGCGCTTCCTTCTGCGCGTGCCGCTTGGAGTCGGAACCACTTGGATTCGAATCTGTTGAGAAGTGTACTGGGTCATCCCCACGCCCCTCAAAAATGGATGAGGTAGTGGTACTGGGTTCATTAAGCGCATTAAGTGTTCACTTTGCCAGGGCCCATTCGAACAGAGTCGAATTGGCATAACCATTGCCAGGGGTTGAGCCTACATGTTCTAATCTGCTAGGGTTTTTTGGTCAGAAAAGTTCATTCAGAAATCTGGGGTCACACAAGGAGCCTGCAGAAAAGGTTGGTCATTGAAGCCCTCAGCTCTTCTGAGGACGTCACCCGGACCCCCAGGTTTTTTGGGGCGTGGGCTCCCTTCTGGTGCCGGCCCCGGCACACGGGAAAACCCACGAAGCTCCGCTGAAGGGATTCGCCGGTCCCCTCCCAGCTGCGCTTTCCCAACCTGGGATCGTGGGGAGGCCTGCATCAAGCCGAACCAACACAGGTAGAGCCAAAGGTCAAGGTAAACCAAGCACCGTATGGGACGGGGGGCTGTGCTTTGGAGATCATCCGGATGTTCAATTGACAGCAGGCACAGCTCACGTCTAACCTCTTTGAGTTGGGTGGTTGCGAACTCCGTTTCGCACCGCTTTGAATCCATGCAAAACCAGTGTGGGTATTGGGCAATCATCCGGGTTTCTTAGGTGGTGCGAACGGATTTCGTCCACCCACAGCACTGTTGATGTTTACCACGGAAATGGTCCAAATCCAAGAAGTGAGTGAAGTCCTGGGCAACCCATGTTGGGGTTACCCTAGTTTTGGACCCAGAGCCATATGGGTGTGGCTCAAAATTTTAGAGCTAGGGTTACGCAGGGTTTGGTTTTTGGTTCCATTAGGGCCCATTTTGGGTACCATTCTTTGGCCCACAGCCCGATGCTTATTGCCCCCCAAAAGTGGGGCCAAGCTGCTCCCAAGCTCCGCCTTCCGCCCCGGCCGCTGCCGCGCGATGCCACGCGCCCTCCGAGGCTTGCTGGTGCTGGTGATGGACCTCTGCAAGGCGCGGAGCACGCGAAGCCCCGCGCAGTGCGCCTGCCTGCGCTGGTCCAACTTCTGCAACTTGCTCTACAGCCGGGGGCCCCACATCATTTTTTCATGGCTGGTCTCGCAAAATGGCTGTGGTGGTCAAAACCGTTTTGGGATCCCATTTTGGTGGGTAGGTAAATTCACCACTCATTTTGGAACCTCTTTTAGTGGGGATGGGGATGTTCACTGGGGGTACGAGCTTTTGACCCATGGCCAAATGTCTTTGCTTAGTTCCTGAATTTTGGTCACTTCTTGAGTTTGAACCCATTTTAATGGTAAACAACTTCCTTTTTCGGCCCATCGAATGAGAGAAACTGTTGCTTTGGGAGGGGTTCCCTTGAGGCGAGCCATAGTTTTAGGACGTGAACATCCAACCATATCAACCAGACCCGGGATCAAAACATGGCATGTTTGTGGTTTTCTTGGAGCTAGAAAATCAAAGCCTTTTGGGGGGCCGGATATGTTTTTGGCAGTGACCAAAAACGGGGGGGGTGTACGCCGTCTGTTGTTGACGTGGCTACGCCGCGGAATCCAGGGTTGCACTGGTGCCCTGTTTCCCCCTCGCTGCTGGGGTGACGCTGTCGTGCGCTGGGGCTTTTTAGAGACCCCGGAGATGGTTGATCGCCTTTTGGTCATGGAGTGAGGTGTTTTGTTGGTCGCTTGGGTTCGGCCTCTTGGAAATTGGCACGCGCTTTCACACGGAACCTCAAACTGGGATCACCAAGCGGTTCAAAGGCGATGGGAGCCCAGGTTGGTCATTGCTTTCCAATTGGAAGTGTGCAGATGGGAAGTGAGACCATCTTCGGAAGGCTTGTCCACTTTCATGACTGGAACAGGAATCTCCTCCGGCCAAAAGGGGAAGCCCATGTCACTGAGCAGTGCTGGAAGAGGATGCTTCGGCCAAATGGGGAAGAAGAAAAAACTGTCCAAACCGGGCTCGCTGCGGCCCACCAACGAAGCTGAAGTTTTAACCCCTAGAAATCTCTAGAAACCTCGGTGGCGATTCCCCAGCCATCCGGTTCCTTAGCTTTTTAGATCCTTTCAGTGTTTAGTGGGGTTTTCCGAATTTAGTGAAGTTAACCATTTAGCCCACTAAAAGTTCGTCACGTTTCGCGGATCAGAAAACGGACAGCCCAGAAACCCTACGAGGCGTTTACTTCATCGGCTATGCGGTGTCGGATGCCTGGACGCCCATGTGGGATGGTCCCTGCAGCATGCAGGACCAAAGCTTCTCGAGCGAATCGAGTGACGTGGTGGTCCCAGCGTTGGTTTTACGTTTGGCCCATGCGGCTGTGGTTGTCAAAACCGTTTTGGGATCCCATTTTGGTTGGTAGGTGAATTCACCACACATGTTAGAACCTATTTTAGTGGGGATTGGAATGTGGGCAGGGCTCCTTCAAGAAAATATATGCCCATTTGAAACATGTTTTTCCCACCAAAATAAAGGGAAACCACCATCTACAAGGCAATGTTCAGGTGTAGAATGTAAGGATCCCTGCTGGGGTACGGGATTTTGACCCATGGCCATGTCCCAAAAAAAAGCTAACACCGTTGTTTTTTAGGGCCCTTCTAGCAAGACCGTGCCCGGAAATTCCTCTTGAGAGATGACCAAGGGCTAAGACTAAGATTTGCTAATCCAGGTGGAGTATCAACCCCCGCTCGCCGCTCGCCCCCCCCCACATGTGCCAAGAGCAGGTCGCCGAAAGGCACGCGATTCCCTTTTGTTGAGTAGCACTATTCACTGTTCTTGGCATGGTTTTTGGTTTCTTAGCTGGTTGGTTCTGTTCATGTTTACTGGGGGTCTGAAAAAAAACAGTTTTTTGCAAGCCCATACCAAGAGTAGAGATGATGAGCTTCCGTTTGCAGCGGCAAAACCGAAGCCTACGAAGAGGGATCACAGGGGCACAAACATCCTCCGCCGCGAATTGCTTAAGATGGGTTTTGCCCCCTTAGTTTCCCAGGGAATTATTTTTCTACTGGAAAAGCAGGGGCTTTACAAACATCCTTCGCCGCGATTTGCCCCCTTAGTTTTCAAGGGAATCTATCGCTGGAAAAGATGTCCTCATTTTTTTTGCGGCTGAAAAGGCAGAGCCATAGCTTTGGCTTCGCAGGACCCGAGAGGGGTAAGCAAGGCTCGCTGGTGCTCGGTCGGTCGGGAAGAGTTGGAATGAAACGTTCCAGGATTCCAACTCAAACGGAAACCATAGGGGGATGGTGTTGAAAAGGGCCCTAAGGGGCCGGTCCAGTTCTCATTCCCTGAGCACCAGCACCTGCAAGTTGTGGATATTCGGGTTTTGGAATAAGTCTGAAGTGTCAGCGCTTGAGAACCGTTCAGAAAGGCCTACTTGTGTGGACCAACCTACCAGTGGATCAGTTTCAGTTTTGCTTGGCGCTCTTCATTTTACTTCCATTTGCTGAAGACAATTTGTATTTTCCCCTGTTGGTCTTAAAGGGAATCCATCGCTCCTGGAGAAATGTTCTCATTCTTTCCAGTGGACTTAAGCAAATGAAGGCGTTTAGGTGCTTTCATCCCTGGCTTGCCTTGCAGATTCCACAAATTGACTCTATTGTTGGAATGCTTCCTTGCATGTGCTTAAGAATGTGTGTGTTTTCATCTCTTGGTTTAAAGGGAATCCATCACTAATTACTGGAAATATTGTTTATTTTTCCAGAGGCCTTTAAGCAAATGGAATGCGTCTCTCTTTTGCTCGAAGATCCGGATGCCCAATGGGCGAGGCGTTTTTTTTTGCTCCACCGATAGAGACAAGCACGAAGCATGGAGACTTGACTCCTCCTTGGATGGTTGTTGCTTGCAGTTGCTTGCTTCCATTTGCTTAAGAATGTGTTTTTTTAGTTTGCCATGTTGTTTGCAGGGGGCTTAAGCAAATGGACGCTTGCTTTGCTTCTTTTGCTCTTCTCTGTGTTTTGTGTTGTCCTGCTTTCCTTCCCCTTCTCTCCTATAGCCACTGGCGTTTTGCATCACTGAACCCTTCAACTTGAGATGAAACAGTCCCCAAACTCTACCTTGGCATGTCCTTTTTTTAAAAGGCAACCGTTGTTGTTATTTTTGGGCGGGAGGCCAAAGGAAAGCCACTATTTGGGCGGCCCCTCAAAGCTAACACACCCAAGTATGAGGCCTGGCTTGCACAAATGGTTGACAAAGCGGAATCCCTCAAGGCAAGATTCCTCTACAAGTGATGTTCCTTTGATGTTTAATTTGAGTAGCAAACAGATTTCCATGGTTCTCACAAAAAGAGGTCCGCAGGCCCTCAGATCACAGGACCTCCTTGGCGGTGTTCTTTGTAGACACGCGTCTCCTTTGTGCTTTTTGCGACTCGGAATTCACCGCCAGAAGGCTCGCCTTGGTTTACCGCTTGACGGCTATTGGGTTGGATCTTTAGACTTTGACTTTTTGGCAAATAAAGGTGTTTTCTACTAAGCCCCCAAAAAGTTGAAAACTTTATGCAGGGGGGTCAGAAACCAAGACTGGAGGAACCAACCGCAACACCGAAGCCAGGTCCGGTGAAGAACCCTCAAACCCCTCAAACCGGTCCATGGGTCTCGGTTCCCACTTGAAAAAACATACTGACAGGAGGCAAAAGGAAACCTGCGGGAGTTGGCCTCTTGACCCGCGGGAGTGTTTTTCCCTCATGGATTGGAACACCAAATCGACGAAGGTTTTGATTCAAGGGGGTTTAGCAAATGGAAACTCACTTGACTTGGGTTCACTTCCAAGTGGCTGTTTGGTATGGTTTGAGTTCAGATTCTTCACCTTCCATGTCCGTCGCATGTTCAAACCAAGGGAAGCCTTGCACTTGAGGTTTCAGGACACCTCCGGCTTGCTGGACGAATCTAAGTACGGGTCCCTCCTACTGTGGATGGCCAACTTCCATTTCGCACCACGTTGGTATTTGCAGGGGAAGCACCATTCTAGGGTGTCTTGGGTAGTGTAGGATTTTGTCCATCCACAATATTAAATAGGGCGTTGGGGGGGTGCCAATGTTCATTGACTTCCCCTTTCCTGGTGACCTTGAAGGGGGGTTACCAAAGAACGCGTGTTGATTCAGGATTTGACTCCCAATGAGACCCACCTGTCCAAACAGGCTGAAAGGAACCAAGAGCCAATGGATGTTGAACCGCCGATTTCGCAGAGCAAGAATCAATAAGATCACTTTCAGCGAACCTGAAGTCACTAAGTACTGATCAAGTATGATCCCCCTACTGTGGATAGATGAAAGCCATTTCGCACCATTTTGAAGCCATGGTTGAAACCATGGTTTGCTGATATTCACGGGGAAATGAGCATTCCAGGGTCTTGTAGGTGGTGCCGTTTACCCGGCATCTCACTTCATCTAACATACATCCTTTCCGGAGCAATCAGCTGAAAATCTGATAGCTGCTTGTTGACTTCACAATTGGAGTCAAGCGGTCCGAGCACGGAAGAGAGAAGGGGAGGAAATCATGGCTTTGAGCAGGTTTCAGGGATGACTCAGGTATGATTGATGTGAGTTGATTGCTGTCAATGGCTCGTCAATGACGCTGTGTGATGGGTGCGTTGTTGCTTTTTGATTTATGACCGGTTTTTCCATAAGCATCCATGGGCATCTTTAGCCAGTGATAAATGACTCTTGCATGACTGGATATTCTGCAAGCATGCAAAAGCCATTGCATACTGTCAAAAACGAAAAAGGGCCCACTAGCCGCATCTAGCCACTTGGCTCCCATGTTGACGCAACACCAGGCAGCTAATGCATCCCAAATTCTCAGCCAGAGTATTTGTCCGAACCGCAAAGGCAGACTCAGTCGAATGTCCCTTTTGCGGTTACCCTCCTGTCCACATGGAACCCACCAGAGGTCCCTTCCAAACCAGGCCCCCGAAACCTCGAACGGTTCCATGGCTGCGTGCGGCAGCAAACCCAAAAACATCGAGTCCCCCGCCCAGAAGGCGACTCCACGTTGCCATGGCACCTGGGTCCCTTGAAAAGGAAATGGATCGGATCCTACCTCAGGTGAAAAGCGTGAAGAGTACTCCAAAGCCAAAGGCTTGGATTTGGTGGCTCGTCTTTTTTGTCGGAGTTGGAACCCCTTTGGCGGTTTTAAGGGGACACCAAAGGAACACCGTTGCGCCTTTTTATTTGTTTGCTTTTTTATTTAGTTCTTGTTGTTTTGTTTTTGGGGGGATCCGAATGGAATTTAAGACAAACTGGTGGTGCCTTCTGGTGTTCCTTTCAGAAACCACCCAAAAACGCGGTGCCAACTCCCAAAAACACATTGTTGGAGCCACCCATGTTTTCCCTTGGGGACGGCCGTTCTTTCTTTTTGTTTGCTTTTTGCCAACCAAAAACACGACTTGCCGAAAATATGTTTCGCCATATTCGCCACGGCCCCAAGGAACTGCTGCATCGTGGCGGTGCCCTGGTTGGAGTTCTGGGGCTACGCCTCCTACATTTGGAACGTCATGTGGCACCTCGACGGAACGATTTGTCGCACCATTTGGCCATCGTTTTTTTTGAGAGTTGGAACCAAGTGGTTGGTGGACATGAATCCCCAACGAATTTTGATGTCCACCATTTCGGGTCGCTTGTTGAGATTCATACTCATCTGATTTCCGGGTCTTCAACCAACCCAAGCGGTTTAGGTCAAAATGGTGTAGCCACGCAATTCAAAGGGGGGGAAACGTGGGAAGACAACAATCAACTTGCTGGTGTGAGAGATGCAGGAAATGAGAAATGGAATGACCCAGAGAACCATCCAACTGTCCAACTTCGCTTTTTAGATCGTTTTACTTGGTTTAGTGGTTGAGTTTCCGAATTTAACCCACTGAAAGTTATTCATTTTCAGCAGGGGATCTGAGGGCTGCCCAGTTAATAGGTGCGTCTTTTGCTTCGATTTTAAGGGTGGGGTTAAAAGGAAGCCTGGGGGGGGTGTCCCCTGTTTCGAGACAACGCCATATCGTCACAGAGAAGCACCAGGTTGGACGAAACGTGAATCGTGTTCTCACAAGCGGGGTACATGGTACCATCTAGGTCGGCTAAAAACGAGGCAATCCAGAGAAATCATAGAAAGTGTATTTGACGAACATGGCCTGTGAAAGATTCGGGGGCGGAACAACGCCCACGCCTCCCATGGAATTGGTGGGTTTCGACCTGAGGAATTTTGAGTCTGCGCTTCGTTTCGACTCGGTTTTGGGGAAGCTTTTGGAGCCCGGCCCCACCTCTCAGCAGAAGGTGCTGGAGATGCGTCTCTTCCAACGCCACCACCGAAAGAAGAGGAAGGGCAAGGAGAATGGAAGAGGAATCAGCCCGATTGAACAAAGAACCCCTAAGCTACCCCAATTTTTGCCTTGTGATGTGTCGTGTAGTCGGTTTACCTGCCCGGACAATCCATGTAGGTAATATATATATATATATGTATCCACATTTACCCTATGGGTCAAATGTTGGTGTATATATATTTATATACATATACCTACATTTACCTCCAATCAACATGTTACTCGCAAACACGGGCCCCTCCGATCGTATGCGCTTGACATGGTGGCCGATCGGCCGCCTCGAGTTGACAGACGAACGAAAACAGCGGACTTGGGGCGCTGGTGGCTTACCCAAAGGGGGTCCCTTTTCAGGGATGGTGTGTGGAAAACTTAGGGCCTTGTTAAGGGAAACTGCTTGGTAATCAGGTCATGGTTGGGTGGGGTGGCACTCAACCACTTTCTTCCATTTGCTTAAGAATACTGTTTATGTTCCCCTGTTGGTGTTAAAGGCAATTTTCTCTCTAATTACCGGACACATTTCTCTCATTTTTTCCAGGGGGCGAAAACGCAAATGGAGGGCAATCAAGTCATTGGCTGGAACTTTTGGTCTAGACGGACCCCAGCTTCGTCCCCACAAAACGATGGCCACTTCAGGATCTTGGACTTGGCGCGTTTCACGCAGCAGCCACTGGCGCCCGCCTCTCGGCGAGTGAGGGAGAGCCGTCGGATACGGCGGCAAAGGGGCGGTGGCTGGCGGCGGTGGCTGTGGTCGCCTTCGTTGGGCTGTGTTAGATGCCATTTTACTTTGGTGCATTTTGCCAAGGGATGTTAGGACTGAATAACTGTTTGATCCAACCAAGGGGTTTTCCGTATCAAACCACGAAAAGTTAGTCACTTTTAGCAGGGGAGCAGAAAGCAAACGAGTTTAGGTTGGTGTGTGTGCCACTTTGGCCTCATTTGAGCAAAGCGGGCGAATGTTGACCTCATCTTCATCCACCCCCAGATTATTAGTATAGGGGGTGTCCCTGGGTTTCGTCGGGAAGTATTTATAGGGGGGAATCATCACTTTTGCAGGAGAACATCCCCGTATCAATAAACTGGGGTTGATTCACATGGGGTCAGCACTACTTTGGCTGCACGCACGGGTTCATACGATTCCTGCCTGTGAAGCAAATGGATTCGCACACATCTAAAACGCACCCAAGAAAAACCGGGCGTGCCGAACCCGAAGCCCGAGGAGAAGGTGCTGGGAATTCCCCTGATGGTCTACTACCACCTCTTCACCTGGCCCTGTGCCGCCATGATCGCTCTGGATCCGGACGGCAGCCGCCTGATCACCTCCACCTGCAGGGAGGAAGCCCGGCGGAATTGGGGGGAGTGGCCGAAAAACCCCCGGCGTTTTTGAGTGGGCTTGCAGGGTTTCCAGCAAAAGGAAAGCCAGGAATTCCTTTTGTTTGGAACTCACTTCCTGAGTTCCTGGGAGTTTGTACTTTTTGATATGACCATTTCAGCGGCAAACTTTAAAGGTTAAGACTCTTGTTCGCCAATCCACTCGGGAAGAGAGTTGCGGGGTCATGGCAATTGGCAATTGTCATGGCAATTGGCAATTGTTTTGACAGTGCGCCCTATATTTCCCTTTGGTCTGACAGACAGGGTTAGCGCTAGACAGCGCTTGATGACAAGAGACTCCCGGGATTCTAATCTTTGCTTGTGGAGTTAGCAAGCACCTTTTGGCCCAAAGGTGAGTTTTCCTTGCAAGGGGCAATGTTTTGAGTCGAGTAAACGGGGAACGCCGATTTTTTGAGGGACTCTTGTGGGGTGGTTAAAAGGAAAGCAAAAGGACAGTCACCATCGTGTGGTTCCCTTATTTAAAGACGCATCCAAGTGCGAGCTATGTGCGAGCTGGAGGTAAAACCGGTAGACATAGGGGATGGTGGCAAGGGAAAGGCTTCATTCCTAGACTTTCAACTTGTGACTCGCGAAGGTCGAACTGGGTTCCTTCGAGTGTGCAAGCATGTTCAGGCGTTCTCCAAATTCCTTTTGACGGTGGTGTTCCTTTAAACCAACAAACCAACGTTTAAACGGTAATTTTGAGGATGTCTTCATGTTTTCCTTTTGGATTAAATACCACTGTACCAGATTGTTTTACTCAGTTCAGCCGAGTGAATGTGGCTGAACGTGTTCTTTGCCATCTAGCCGATTGTTGAGCTTATATGACCTCAATGGAGCTGTCCGCTGAGATGTACCCCAAGCTGGCACAGTTCAAGCGAACAGCTTGGGTTAGGTTTGAGCGATTTCGAGCGAGCCCAGCCCAGGACGTAGGACTCCCTTCCTTTATTTATTTATTTATTCATTTATTTATTTACTTATTTGTGTATATATTTATTTGTTTGTTTATTTGTTCATTGTTTGTTTATCTTTGTTGTTGTTTTTGAGGGGGGGAGGGGTTCCTGAACTGCAAAGGTGATGGTACATGTGGCCCGTTCAGCTATGTCTGGGAAAAGCGCGGGTTTTACCCGTTGCGCTTTTCTTTTCCGTCGCCTCCTACCTTGTCTCAGTAAAATATGCCGTAGGGAATGGGAAAAGGGACGTGGACATGTTAGCTGATCCCCCCCCTTTTGCACCAACAGAGACCCTTTGGGACCCCGGTATGTTGTGCTAACTTTTAAAGCGAGTTGGTTCAACGAGGTCGCTCTATGTTTGACAGCTGCCCTCGCTTTAATTGTGGGCTGACCAGTTAAACCCTGTGGTAGGGTTCGTCCGCCTTTGGGGATTGGCACGACATGATTCCCCGATGAACAGACATACACTCTCCTATCTCTGAGACTCCACGCCGCGTAGCAAAGAGAAGGCAGGAGAGACAAAAGAGATAGAAGAGAGTGGCCCTTCCCTTCCACTTCCCTCTTTCCCATTCTCGTCTATGTTTTCCTTGTGGCTGACCACTCCCATCCGAGCACTTCGCTTGGTCCACATCCCTTGGATGCTTTTCAGCCCCTTTGTATGACCGCTCCCATGCGATCCGCGCATGTTTTTGTCCAGCCCCGTATGGCTGACCACTCTTTGATCGATTGGATCCGATGGCCCGAGAAAAATCGATTTGATCCAATCGGATTTTTGATCCCAAGTGGCTCACCACCCTCCCCAACCCAACTCCGAACTCAACCCAAAGTCGACCCCAAATCAACCCCCAAATCCAATCAATTCGACCAAGTCGACCCCAAAGTCGACCAAAACCGGCCGAAGTCGGACAAATCGACCAAAGTCAACCCAAGACACCAAATCCGACCAAATCGACCCCAAAGTCGACCCCAAAGTTGGGCACCAAATCCGAGGCGAAGATCGTGATGATGCCCTGCGTGCTGCGGCGCCAGACCATGGGCGGCGACCTGCCCTGGTTCCAAGTCGCCGGCTCCGTGGCAGGGACCTCAGGGCTTGTTGGAGCGCGGACGTGTGGGGTTTGAAAAATCATTTTATGTTTTGTTTGTTTTAGAATTTGTTGTTGTTTCATTTTTTTCTGTTAGCTGCTGCCCCTTGTTTGGTTTGGTTCAAAGGGAAACTCAAAAATTGAAAGGAAACCGAACATTTTTTGCGGGGGGATCGCGGACGTCCATTGGGTCTGGGGCGAGCCAACCTTGGCTTACGGGAAAGTTGTTTTTTGCGTGTGAACCGATTCGTTGAAACAAGAAAATGGAGCCAATTCTTGCTTGAGGTTTTGGATGTTGTAAGATGTTCGGAGTCTTCGGGCCCAGGTGACATTCCGCAGTCCTGCTTTGAGTGCAGCGGTAGCAACACAACCCTGGCAGATGTTAGGGTTCCCCCCGCTTTCCGCGAAACCTTATCACCTTTCAAGTCGAAAATGCAGATAGTTAATATTATTGAGTTGAAGTCGAGAAGCACAAAACTCGAGACGGTATCGCAGAATGAGGCATTCTATACCACGACATTTACCGACTTGTTCAATCAGTTCATTTTGAACCCCGTGTTGGGTGGTTTTAAACATGGGGTTGATTCCCCAAAAGTTGAAACCGCCCGGTTTTCTTCCGGGAAGGGGGCCGTATGGGGCAGCGCCCGGCGCGGCCCGGCCCAGGTCATCGCCATGGCGGTGGCGGTCATGGCCATGCGCTACATGGACGTGGGCCAGCTCTTGAGCAACGGCGCCAGGTCCCAGCGCCGCGAGAGGCGGGGCGACGGGAGAGCCGGCCGCGAGGGGACGGAAGCGACGGAGCGAGGCGAGAGGCGAGAAAAGTTGAAAGCAGGTCCTGGACTCGGTGTCTTTGGGAAGGTCCATGTCAGTGAAACAACCAAGGGGTTCTTTTTAGGTGTTGTTGTTTTTTTGCAAAGTGAGGAGGACCATGCTAGGTGCAAACCAAGTGTTTGGGAGTTTAGGAGTGTGTGAGTGAAATTACACACCCGCCGACAGCCCGGGCTTGAGCATAGGAAATAGCGCTTTGTTCGAGTTTGGTAGCGGAGCGCCTTGCTTCGCCGTCTAGGCTACCGAGGCCAATCCGGCCGGCTGCGCCATTTCGCAGCCTCGGCGGCTTCGCCGCTGGTGCATGAGCATCTCGGAGGTGATCTTCACCTACGACGAGAATCGGCACCTCGCTCTCAAGGAGCTGGACGGTGCCTTCGTATCACCGCCTAAGAGCACGTGGCGGTTGGCGAGGTCTAGGCGGCGGAGACCGGGGACCGAGCCACAACCTTCGCTCACTGGAAGAAGAACCAAGCTGATCCACTTCGCCCTCTTGCTCTACAGCCTCATCGTGGCAGGCATGGCGATGCCCTCCGGCGGCGGAGGAATACCACTAACAGAGTTCCGGCGAGACCTTCCTCCTGGATGGGAACCAGGAGATCCGAACTACACGCTGACCACCTACTTCCAGCGACTTCGACTGTGGTATCGCCAGACGGAGGTGCCCGATGAGTGCGTGGGCCCCATCGTGGCCGGGAGGCTCGGGCCACGAGCTCAAAGAGTGGCCCTTGAGCTCAGGCTTGTCAGGCCTGACGGCCAGGTGGACGTGGGCGACGCGGCACTGGTTCGCCTGAGCGTGGACGAAGTCAGAGATCCGGCTGACCCCACGCAGATCCTCCAGCATGCAATCCCGAGCGGAGTGCAAGCACTTTGCAATGCGCTCCGAGCTGCTTTCGGCCAGACGGATGAGCAGCTCCTCACGAAGGCGCTGGAAGCACTTCAAGAGGAAGAACGCCATGACGTTGCAGGAGTTCTCACTGGAGTGGGACTTGCGGTTTGAGGAGGCGCAGACGCGTGCAGGCCTGGACATGAACATGGTGGGTCGATCGTACCTCTGGCTGAAGCAGAGCAACATGAGCCAGAAGTTCTGCGATGACCTCAAACTGCAGGTGCAGGGCGACATGTCCCGTTTCAATGACATCAGGACCCTGGCACTGCGGCTTGCTCACCAACACGCAGATGGACACAAGGGGGACATCTTCTATGGCGAGGACTCCCGCACCGAGGAGCACGAGATGGACCCCAACAGCGAGGACTACTTCGATTACCAGGCCGCTGACTCGATGTACTACTGGTACGATGGAGATGATTGGTGGAGTCCTGATCTGGACTACCAGGACTACTTCGAGGATTACACTACCGAGGACTGGTGGTACGATGAGTCTGAGTGGCAGGGAGATGCAACTGCGGACCAAACCACCTCATGGACGGCAGACTTCGACAAGCCCGACTCGGAGAACCAAGACCCAGAGAATGCGGAGGTCTACGGCAAGGGCTTCAACAAGGGCAAAGGCAACGCAGGCTGTTTTGTCTGCGGATCCCGTTGGCATCTCGCCGCAAATTGCCCGGCCAGAGGGTCCTTCGGCAAGGGCAAGGACAAGGGCAAGGACAAAGGCAAATGGAGGCCGAAAGGCAAGGGACGTGGCTACCGACCCAAAGGCAAGGGCAAGGGGAAGTCCAAGGGCAAGTTCAAGGGCAAGTATAGCGGCCCACGATACTACACCGAGACCAACGAGATGAACCAGGTGAGACATGCCCGAGAAGGACTTACGTTGACCACGTCCTCCCCTTCCGGGCCACCACAGCCATCATCATTCAGACCTCACGCACCACCAGCACGTGATCTGCAGCAGAACCAGAAGACCTCAAGCGTTGGCCAAGGAGAACACATGGAGGACCTCTTCGTTCGACCGCGACCACAACCACCATCCAGCTCGACAGACGCCGATGCCAGCGATTCCGCAAACAGAGGAGCCAAGAACCTCAGCTTCTCCTTCCACGTTGGCCTCTACAAGACCGGTGGCGACAGCGTCGATGAGGTCTACCACACAGTCGGCGGCCATCGCCGACGAGGACCTCATCATCGACCCTGGAGCAGCCAACAGCCTGGTTGGCACGGAAACTCTGAGGGATCTGGTCGACCACTGTGACCAGTCCAGCGTCATCAAGACAAGCATGCAGTGGCAGGAGAAGCAAGCGGAGGTCACTGGCATCTCGGGCCAGTCAGACCCTATCTTGGGCCAGGTCACTATGCCACTCCCGATGTTCGAGGAACTGCGCGAAGCAACCTACACCGCGGACGTCATCGGGGGCAACGCCTCACTATGCCCTGCGCTGGTGGGGAACCCAGGTTTGGTAGGCATGAGAGCCGTGATAGCCTCTGCCTGGTTCCAGAACAACGACGGCCTGCTCATCTTACCCACGGACATGGAGATGAAGACCTTCAGTCTCTATAGGCTGTTGTTGACGGACTCCAAGCACTATTTGCTGCCGGTCGACGGCAAGATGCATTCAGAGAATGAGGAGCACCGCAAAGCAGCCACCTTCCTCTCCAAAGTCCAGGAGCAGTCCGCGAAGAGATGGTCGGACACGAAGTACAGTGTCTGGCACTCTGATGGAAAGAGCCCAGGATGGAAGCGGAGTGAACCTCATGAACTACCATCTGGAAAGCAAGAGCACCTCTCCATCGTGGACGGCACGGACCTGGAACCCGAGGACTACTGGACGGTGGACTTCGGTGATGACGGACCGATCAGAGTCACAAGAGTCCATCGACGACCGAGGATGGCATTCTTCTTGCCCACGGACGTGGAGCTACCTCCAGGCGTAGAAGCCGACCTACTACAAGATGGGAGATCCACAGAAGTGCAGCCACGAGACGGTCAACCAGCCCACGACGTCTTCGACAACTGGCGCACTAACAATCCCGTGAATCCCTTCACTTGGACCGGCTTCACGCACTTCACACTTCGAGAGGACACCACTCATGCAGCACCATCACCGGAACAGGAGTCACCTGACTCTCCACCGGAAGCAGTCCACAGCAACCCCAAGGACAACCAGCACGACCAGAACCACAAGGACTACCACCGCACTGCCCCAGATGAGTGCTACTTCAACTTGCCATCTGCCTACCCCGGAGACGACATACCTCACGAACTACCAGCACAGAAGCAGCAGCAACTTCGGAGGCAGTACAAGTTGATGCCAGAGGAGTACTACCAGCACACCGGGAAGCGAGTCATCAAGCCCGACAACTACCACCAGTGGGCGAGCTCTCGCTCACGCAAGAAGTGCAACTTCTGGGAGATCTGCTCAGGAAGTTCGCGGCTCTCCTTGTTGGCCCTCATCAGCGGGCTGATGGTTGCGTTCCCAGTAGACCTCAGATATGGCTGGGACATTGGCAACAAGCACCACCAGGAACTGCTACTACACGCTCAAGACCTGATCGATCCCGACGTGATCCTTATGTCGCCCAACTGCAGGCCTTGGTCTATCTCGGCCAATCGGAAGAAGCCAGAGGACCGTGAACGAGATCGAGGAGAAGAATTTGAGTCTCTGTGTTTTCTTCTTCGGATGGCCCAACGGCAGGCAGACAAGGGGAAAGCCTTCATCCTGGAGCAGCCCTTCTCTTCGGCTATGTGGACTCTCTCGCCTATGGCAAGGTTGAGAGACATTGAGGGATGTCGGTCAAGGCAGCGGGTTGACCAATGCATGCATGGAGCCTGCGATGAGAACCGCATCCCCATCATGAAGCCGACCGGACTGCAAGCCAACATGGCGCTGCGCAACTCGTGCAAGCGATGCCAAGGAAGACATCGCGATCACTCTCAACTTCAAGGATCAGACCACCTCGGCCGGCAGCGCACCATCATGGCGGCGGTCTACCCCCGGGGCTTCTGCAAGGCCATCATAGCCGACATCAAGAAGTTCATCGGCAAACCCAGTCGAGGACATGAGGACTACCATATCTACTACAAGTGCGACAAGTGCCGACTGGGCAGAGAAGCTCCTCCAGGGACCGAGCACAGTCTGGTGCCCAGAGAGTGCCGGCATGCATCTTCACTGCCTACACCGGGGACCTCATCGGCCAAGGTCTCCAGGAATGTCACCACTACACTTCCAGACCTCATGGAGCAGTTCAAGAGGGAAGCCATGCGGCATCCTACGATCCATGACATCAAGCTCACCATGGACTATGAGATGCCGGCGATCGACACGCTCATGCTGAAACTGCTCTTCCTGAAGGTAGTGGAGGAAGGCGTGAACATCATAGAGGCCCACAAGCAGAAGTACCGGCACTGGACGGAGGATCCGGTCTACTTGGCCATCGCTCGCAAGATCTTCAAGAAGGTCCTGGATGTGAAGGGCATCTGCTGCACCCTTCACGACGACAAGATCCCTGTTCCAATGCCGTACCTTCGCACGGCATCTGCACCGCTGCGGTTGGTCTTCAAGGGCGACGTCAAGTGCTGGACTGCCCTCACCTTGGAGGACATCAGAACGCTCAGCCAACCGCGAACCAAGATCATGCACGATGGCTGGCTGATAGCCATCTTTGGATCTGCTCCGAATGATCAAGATCACTGGGAGATCGACGAGGCTGCTGGCATACTACGGAGGCACCACGTCAAGGCGCGCCTAGACATGTTTGTGCCCACCAGCATTGCCTGCCCGATCCCCACGGAGCAGCTCACGGAAGAGAGACGAACTGTTGCAGACCCCTACGACAAGGCGGGCTCGAAGCTGGTGATCTCCGACACCTGGACACGCAGGGACAGCTATCGCCACCTCATGGGCGAAGACCGATGGACCGGAGTTACCGAGTTCAAGGTAGTCCAGGAGAAGGCCGATGAAGAGGAGATCACGGACCCGGTACAGCGCCTGGCGGGGGAATCCGAGAAGCAACAGGCTCAGGAGGAGGAAGAAG